TCACTACGCTAACTTCATGTATACCAATATGACATATTTAGTATCAAAATAACAGTAATTATATACGCTGTACAATATCATACTTCATTTTCAAAACAACATTCGCCTGTGACATTTATCTGTCATTTTGTTAGGATACCCCGTCACTCAACCTGTTATTATGCAAGAAGGTCCACTACGGTTATCAGCAGTAATTATGAATAATCGTTTATGCAGTTATTGATAATTTTAATGTATCTCCATATGGCAAAAGAATAAAAGAAATCAAAGTGGGGGCCAAATGTTGACCCCACCAAACCAAAATGTATATAGTACATCCAAGTAGTACGTTTTCATTCCGACCCTATAGTATACTTAATCATCAATGCCGAGCGGAGCGAGTCTTAAACTGTTTTCCGATGTTTGAAAAGAGGACTGCCCCCTCCTCCTGCTTCCTGATGCATTAAAACATAACTTCTGTTTTGTTATTGTTTTTTTTTTTTTGCATTAATGCGTAGATTTAGCAACTAAGGCCGTAGATTAGTTTAAACATAACTCATCGTTCGGATAACAAACAGGAAGATTGTGCACTGGTTATAACTACTAGTAAAAACACTCCTCAACAGTTATACTATACACATTGTTATGCATAACAAACAATTGGGAAATCGTCAGAATTAAGGAGAAACGGGAAGGAAGTGCAGGAAAATGACAAATACATCCGATACAATTTCTTAATCTGTACAGCATCATAAGTATGTTAGACTATTATGTATGCACACTTCGGTAATCTCCTCTGTTTAATTGTTCATCAATCAAATTGCCATGCATAAAAGTTGTTTTCTTTATAGTTGCTATTACAAATAATGTTAGACTTGGGTAATAAGTGATAATCATGGTGGGGGAGGGTGTGGGTGTGGGTGTGGCAGTTGTCCTGCCCTGCCTCCCCCTCTTATCCCTGTCATGCTGAAATTCTACAGTTTCTTGGGCACTTTAGCCCCCGCCCCCCTCCAACCTGGGACATCACTCCTGGACCAACGTGTTAGATAAACGCACACGACTAAGTTATTAAGGGAGTAAGACAGATATTCAAGTTGTATTTCCGAACTTGTTGAGAAGCAGTTATGAACATTTGGGATAAAAAAATATCTGAGCACAAGTGTTGATATATTTTTTTTTTCAATATTTCTTTGAAGTTTTCATCAATCAATAGGCCTACATTTTAATAGAAACCGTCAGTCATTTTACCAAAAATATGGAACAAATATTTAACTCATTGCAACAAAATCCAGCTGTTCCTCTTCACCTTGATGAATGTTCATACTACAACTGAAAAAAAAGTATCAAAGAATCAGCCATGTGGAAACGCCTTCCTCAAAACCAAGAAAATACTAAAAATCCCTTACCAGACCAGCCTTGAAGTGCAACATCTACCTCCTATATATTACCAAGTATAGGTAATCAAAGCTTAACAAGACCAAATTAATCACAATAATGTTATATAATGTCACAATATTGCAATGGAATCGTTATTGCAAAAACACTGAACTATCAGCATGGCTAAAACACTCTCAAGCTCAAGATATTGGCTTAAACTACATTTTCAAATATGGAAAGCAGTACTAGCTAATCTCAACAGCAACAAGGAATCATGACAAATTCATTTAAATATAGTATCTGTACTCATCAACTTGCATATGATTCGAAGATGGCCAGTATTAGGGCTGATTTGGAGTAGGTTTTAAGTCCAAATTGAACGAGTTTAAACATTTCTGCAATTTGCGCTTTATTAAATCACAAACAAAGACATAACACGTTTTAATGACAATCTTTTCTGTTAATTTGGACCAAGCTGTAAAAATGGCGAAGTCCACAATTATGAGCATCAAAAATGGGGTTTTTTTCGCATTGGTTTAACCGACTTCTAAATATTTTTCCTCAGAAATGTAGCTATATCAAAGGTCGTACAACTTGTATTGAACATTCTATATTCCAGCACTCTGTACTATTGGGGGGTGGGGGAGGGGGGGGGGGGNGGGGGGGGGATATCCTTTAATAGAAAGGGTCGTGTTATGGAGTTGAGCATGCACATATATTTCTTAATAAGACAAAAGACAAAAAAAAACCAACAACATATAAACATATTTTTTTAAATCCCTGACTTTGCCACATCTCATTGCTGGGTTAAAACTGTACGAGACGAGGTTTTATCCATCCTGACTTCATCCCTTCTAACAAGATATTTTTGTCAGAATGGCATTTCTACTGCCTCAAATACCGGTCAAATATGAAAAACAAACACAGATATCATATTTTAATTAATCCAGTCATAAAACAACGCGTTACACCTCCAAAATTGCAACAAAAGCAAACATCCCCTATCTGAGAATGCTATTCAGCTACTAACACGAAGACTCTGATGCAGCAGTCTGAAAAATGTCTATTGCACCTTAGCTGGTCTTGTGAAACTCCTCTTTTTTCGCGCCGTATTTTACTGAAAGGCAGACTTACGTAACGATAAAATAATGGTTATGTTATATAGCTCTGTATGGACGTCTTTCCTTCAACTAAACCAGGTAATATAGTATACAGAATTCCTCTATACATAAGGATTGACCTTCATTTTGACGGCTTATACAGTTGGCAGCGAACATATTCTATATATATTCTATAAAATACCAGTTTCCTCTTTCTCATATTTTTTTTTTGTATACCGATTGAAGTTTCCGGTCCAGTTTCCAAATGACAAACCAGTAATAATTCTAGCTGCTTGAAGTTTAAGCTTTTCAAGTAAATCAATATGGAATTTCGAACAACCACTCCAAAGTTCACAGGCATATTCAATTGATTGTAGGTAGTGTAAGGCGTTGTTTTCTACCTAAATTAGCAAAAATATGTAATTAACTTGATTGAAATTGGGAAGATACTCCTCATTTTTTCTTCATTTTCGGAAGACAGAGCACCTTTTTTGCTAGGAAAAAGCCCTATCGTGAAAATTTTAAAAAGCACTAAAATTTTACCTCAGATTGATAAATATTTTCTACACGGCTACCTCACTTAGAATTAACCCCAAATCCTAACTGCTTATAGATCATAACCACGTGTACGTTATTATATTCACTCGGTGTTCCTTTCTTTGTGACGTCACTATTGCGTGATGATTAACTTGACGATTAACTTCTATCCATCCTGTTGATGATAAAAAAAAACAATAGAATATTTTCAAATCTTGTATCACATTTAGTTGACCTTGATTTTGGTGAATATGTGGTTAGGTCTATATGGACATGAAAAGTTATACTGATCTCGGGTAGTATACCTTACTTAGGTCCATAATTGATAAAAAAAAAACAAAAAAACCCAACAACATCATTAAGGCCGGACAGGCTTCTAAGATATCCTTGTGGAGAGAACCTTTCTTGAACAGTTTTTTAAAATAGATTTTCAAATCAATTAGAATCTGTATTTTTTCACATAGACGGTCTTTAACTATATATAAATTATATATATAAAAAAAAAAGTAAAAAAAGTAAAATCAGACAAAATCAGACATCAGCGTTTTTTAAAACAATATAGAAAGCTGACAACCCGCTGACATTTGAACGTAATTTAAAAGTATGTTGTTTTTTACAGTTTTTATTGATGTATTTATTTAACGTAAAGAAGACATAACTACGATTTCACAGAAAGACACGAGGTGTTTGTTTCTCCTTTTGATAAAAAAGACAAATATCTTATCGACGGTAACTCAAAGCAAAGTTACATTTATGAAGTTGATAAAGCTATAACTGTATAGTGCGACCAGAATTTTCATTATAATCATGTTAAATGGACATTAATTTTGTTAAAAAAATTGACGCCTGTCTGCATACATATATTTTAATAAGTTTCTTATATTGGTTCTATCAGGCTAACGCCCTTTGTAGTAAAGTATCACCAAAAAAATATATAAGCGTTTTGTACGCGTAACTAACAAAAATGCCCTGTAAGAAATGGAGAAACCTGCTTGGTTCCTCCTTCCCTTTCCCATCTGCAGGTAATATCAAGGGGTTTTAATGCTAATTGGATCTTATCGCCAGCATCAGCACAGTGTCTGTATATTGTTTTCTTTTTGGCATGTGCCCAGAAGACTCTTACTTGAACACAAACAGTAAAAATAATGGAAACAGACGAATTTTTAATGTCACTTTACTGGCCGCTGGGTCGAGTCTCTTGTTTTTCTTCCAGACAGAGCGAGACAATAGATCCCAACGTTGTGTATAGTTTCATCAAATCTGTATTTAAATCCCTATGTAAGATTAAGTTTATTGAAATTTGTCAACACCACTAAATATAGATGAAGGCGCGAGCAGCGAAGCGTAACAGTCACGCCTGCAGGGGCCGGGCCGGAGAGCAGGGGTATCAGGGCCACGCGAGGTCGATTACTACACCAGTGTGCATAACACACCAAGGACAACAGCTGTCACGTACACTACAGTAGAACTATTTTCTGGCGCAAGTTCATGGAAGTGATTGACCGTGACGTCACAAAGTTGCCTGGTTACTGAGTTTTTTCCCTTCCAGCGCAAGATTATGTATATACGAGAAAGGAATTTTATAGTTCCGTTACAGTCCAAATGGCGGATGTCTAGCGATACCACACAAAGGTCCCAAATCAGACTGACTTACTTATAATCGCTAATTGCATTAATTTATGGTTTTAATGCAAAATATACTAATTATCGACCGTGACATTGTCTTACATAGACATTGAAATTATATATGCTTATTCAAATAAAGACATAAAAAAGACCGGATGTAGGTAGAAATTATTGATTTTTGTTGGAAGATCTCATTGATTCGGCAAGAAAAATCAATAAAAATAAAATTCGATTAATTTTAGTTTCTCTTTACCATCATGTATTTAACCACTTTAATTATTCTCAGTGGTCAGCGGAACATGAGTGGTGAGCTTTGACACCCCATATGCCTATCATCTATCAAATTCCTCATCGAAGTGTTTTAGAGTGAAAACCAAAAGCCGCCGAAGGACGTGTGACGTCACGTGTGAAAAGAGGAGGAAGACAGATATAAGCCCGAGAAATGGCGACTCCATGATCCTGTCGTCTAGGGGTGACTACACTGGACACTACAACGTCGTCGTGGAGTTCGGACTTTTCCGAATATTGGCACATAACTTCGAAAGTTCACTCTTGAAGTGGTTGTGTCACCTAAAGCGGCAATGGCTGCAAATATGTATCGAGTTGGAGGTACGTACACAAATTTTGAGTGCAGAAAGCATGGACGGACCCACTCGGCTAATCGCGTCGGGATACATTTTAAAAATACTTTTGTTTTAATCAGATTACAAGTGCTACATGTTTCATACTAACTGAATGTTTTTGTTATGTATATATGTATTACAGGTCGAAATTTAGACATACATGTTATAATAATAGGTGAATTTTGGACACAAAGTTATTTACGAAGGTGAGGGCCTCAAGGGGAGGTTGTGATGCGGTCTTAATGATCAAAGTGAATTTTCTACTTCGAATTTCATAAAAGTTCCTTGTACAACGTATACAATTTTTAGGTTATTCTTTTTTATGGACCCATTGTCCATCATCCTCCACAAAATTCGGTGTCCAAAATCTTATTTTTATATGTGAAACACGGTTGTGTGGACTATTTTTTGATTGCGGACTATTATATCGGCCGGTGTTCACACAAAGACCTTTTTTGTTCTGTCTGCAGATTATGTGTTTTTCGAAACCTCTTCGACAACGCCGTATCAAATCAGACGGATTGAAGAACTTAATAAGGTAAGTGATATGTATAATCTTGCAACTTTAGTGAAATTATTGGAATTTCTCGAAATTCACAATGGGGCCCACATAAAGGGGTTAAGTGTGAGGTACGGAAGGGTTTCGATTCCGTGAAGTGTGTTACCGATTACACATGTCGTCATGATGGCTCGATTACATTCCGGCACGATTTTCATTTCAGACCCCAAATGGCAATGTGGAAGCAAAAGTTATGTGTTTTTACCGGAGGAGGGACATCTCAAGCTCCCTCACATTACTTGCGGACAAACATCAAAGTAAGTGGTTGATTGTGTATTTCCCTGTCGGAGACTGATGGCACGAGTGTGTCGGGGACAGTGGCGATGGGTGGTGGGGGTCGGCATTGGAAGACATCGGTTATGGCATACCATCTGGACAGAAATCGCACAGAAATGCATTCAAAACATCGAAATTATACAAGCTTGTAGTAAACAAAACAGAAACACGTGGATTTTACTACTAGAGTGGAAATAGTCCGGCTTTGCTTGCATTTGATTGGTGGAAGACTGTTCATTCATACAGTTAGGGTGTTGCTTTCCACAAAATGTAAACAACAGTTTACCCAAAGGATTTTCAATGAATTTTCACATGAAATACATTTGACAGTCGTGTCATTCTCCTAATTTGTTAAAATTGTACCTGATTTTCAATTTTGAAATGAATCTATAGGAAATTTGTCCATAATATCTGAGTTACAAAGGCAGGTATATAACTAGGGAATGTACATCATCACATGAATGTTGATTTTGTTATTTGCATTTCCCCCCCATATTTCAGGGTTTTGAAGACCAAAATTAACTAAACACAAGATATTTTTTTTACAATATATTAAAATATAATTCTTGTTAATATTTCCAACCTCAAAAATAACTTGTGTCATCGGTGATCATTGTGTGTGATGTCATCTGATAGATAAATTGACGATGAAAATGTGTCCAACTTTTCTCATACATGTACTTCATTTATGTTCGGAGGGTTATTTTTTCGTTTTGTACTTGTATAAATTATTGGCGAAAGGAAAGTAAGATTTAACTTTTCCATTCATAAACAGATTCCTTTTCACGCTTTGTACTTGTCTGGTAATTTATTGTATGAGAAAAAAATCAGCAATTTACAGAGATGTATTTTTCGATCTGATCAAGTTTTGTTTTTTTATCTATCCATTTGTTTTCAAAATATTTTTTTGTAGTTGTAAAACATTTCCCCCGAATTGGAACCCCGATGAAGTAGTTGCATATTGGTAAAATGGGCTGTTATTAAAAATAACTCTTAAGTTGACTACATTTACTTTAAAGAAACGAACTTACATTTGGTGTGTAAAATAATGTGCTGCTTTAGATTCTGTTGGATGAAAATTTTGATGACTGTTTTCTATTCTTGTATACTGGCCTTTTTGACGAGTGCTGTATATATACATTTCACATACTATACCTACAAACTTGTATGCAAAGAATTCTATAGATTGATGCTGACATAATGGGATGTAGCCTCTACTGTGGTTGGGTTGTTCATAACGACATTTCCCCCATGTATATATATAGATCTAAAATGACCAGAATTCCAGACTACAGTCGGTGTCTTGTGCGAATCTTGACCTTCAGTTCTCGTATTGGTGATGGGTTGTAGATTTCAGGTAAACTTTTCTGGATTTTTATTGATACATATTTGACAATTTTTGTTCAACTCAGGTTCTGGAGAGGGTAAATTGAGACCAACTGACACTCTGAGTAAGTCCAAATAATTAAGCTACCTTCTATGCATGTAAACAAAAATTGCTATGATGAAACCCGATTCCCTTGCACTAATTTTTACACGTAGTAAACTAGTTTGGTGTTGTAATAACTTATATTGTTGTCATATTTATGCTTTTTTTCTCTTTATTTTCACTTCTCTTCATGACGGGAACTATGATACAAATAAAAAGGTCATTATATATAGTTCATAGTAACAACCAAAATAAATGGTTTACAGAACAATATCAAGATATATTTGCAGAAGAGTCTTAACTTACTGAAATAAATAGGAACACATTACTTTTCGAGGTCAAATAATATATAAAATCATGTTTTGTGGTTCTAAGAAACAGTTTGTTACTATTGGTAAAAAAGCTCAAATTTATATGGAAAAAGAAAACTATGCATTAATTAATGTATTACTGCTTAATTGGTTAAATTTGATGTTTTAATTATAGCAGGAGTTATATCATCTTCATAATATTACCTGATGCCATGTTTTCTAAAGTGTTCATTCTTATAACTCGCACTCTCAAAAGTAAAAAAAAAAAATTGTGACACAAGATGAGTAAAAAGTGTAATGAAAAAAAAAGCAGAATAAACCACTAGCCAATTTGTTTTATCAAACTTCTCTTTGGTGTATGGTATTCTTTCCAGCAATATTGACAGGATTGTCATAATAAACTGGTGTACAGGTATATTTCAGTACAGAAGTAATTCCTACAGTTTTTGCATCATTTACGAAAAAATAAATGGCTGTTTTATATGAAGTGTGATGCTTGCAACAACTTCAGTTAATCAAACAGTTCAATGACCTTTTTAAGTTGAGCATGGCTGACTTAAGTGTGACACTATAGCGAGTCTGTCAAGCACGAGTAAAGGACGAGTGGGGCATCTTTAATTATTTAGACATCTTTTCCTTAACAACCTACCACTTCATTTGACTATTTTCTCGTCACCATAACAGAAACATAGAGGTTTCTTATCTACTCCCAAGTTGACTTAATATAAGCAGTATATTTATCTTAAAGATCAGTTGTATTGGTCACTGTACATGTATCAGTTCAATTACACTTGTTTTTATTACCTGACAATGACAATGATTCTATGGCAGACGTTGTTCATATTCTAGTGAGAATGCATAATAAAATGTATATAATAACAAAGTTTAAAGTATGAAAAATACTGTAAAATGTATTCAGAATGCAGGAAATTTTTTGTCCAAGACCTCCATTCCAATGAGGGGGGCTTCAGCCCTTTCCTGAACTCAACCCCACCTCGTTGCTTAGCAATAGCCTTAGGGCATGTACAGGGCTAGTAGATTTCATAGCCCAACTAACATTTAGATATCAAGAACAACATATGCAATGTACCGTAGCTTGTCTCTCTGAGAATACAATTAAAAGGGATAATCTTACAATATAATTTTGGTAATTAAATGGAGTCTTTTAGTGTCAATGTCATGTTATCCAAGTTTTTAAAAAAAATGGCTCATCTTGGCAGTAAGTATTGAGAATTCTTATTTCAAACGGGCTATTATAATATTACACTGTATACAAATTGGAAAAATCATAGTTCATACTTATGAATTCACATGTGCCATATATGGTCATTATGTCCTTACAATAAGGAGACAAATTACACACTGAACAGAAGCTTTGTTAGTTGGCCACTGATACCTGACAAAGCCAAATCACAGATTGACCATATCCAACAATAAGGAGACAAATTGCACACTGAACAGAAGCTTTGTTAGTTGGCCACGGATACCTCATAGATTGACCATATCCAAGTTAGTTATTACACATGAGAGGTGTAAACAACCTGACAGTTATCTTATATTAAATCATACTCACTCCGATGTGAAGTAAATAAACCTGAAGCAAACGGGGCTCATCTACAGTTATTGGAGGATGAGTGCTAACTAATTGGTTCAAATTCAAAATAACTTACTTTAACATGAACAAAATTAACATGGCTTCAAAGTGATGACAGTAGCTAAATCCTGAGGTATACAATGTACTGGACAAAGTTTATATGTTCATATATTAAAATGCAAGTAAATCTAATGTTAAGACTCAAAATCACTCAACCTTTTTATGTTTACTTTTTTTATATATCTTAATATACCTTTTAATGTAGAACATGTATGTAATATAAACTACTATTTTGTTGTCTATTTTTAACATAAGTGTTGTTTGACATACTACAACAATATATCTATTATTGATGAAGCAAGTTTGTAAACATATCTAGTACATTATAGTATTTGTTGAAGTTAATCAACAGCAAGAGTACTGTCTGTCTATTGTCAGCTACTTAAAGTGGTTACAGATTATGGCTGTTTGTGTTTAATGCTGGGTTTAAATGTATTGCACTTGATATTTTTTGGTGGAAAAATTGCGATTTTTTTTTCTGTATGCAAAGTGTTCTGTATGAGTGGTTGAGATGAATATAACGTATAGAGCTGTACATGTTGTAGACCTTAGCTATACTTAGGTCTTCTGTACAAGCACTTGGGGCTATTTACCCTTCTTGTTGTGTGCATGCTTGTAAATCTATCACTTTTTTATTGGTACCTATTAATGGCTTGTCAGTCGTCTGAAACTGGAATGTTACACAATCAGTGTTCTATTTGACAATGCTTAACACTAACAATGAAATAATCGCAGAATCACTGGGAATGTTGGTGACATCAAGGTGTCACCACCAAATCTCAAAAAATATTTTATTGATTTGCATGTTGTTTGGGCCATTAATGAATAATATACCCTTTCATACACAGTTATACTGTACCAGTGTGTGTCAGAGATAGAAATATTCCACCCTGAGGGGTTGAAACATTTTTTTGATCGTTTGTTTTTGTATGTATTGGGGTAAAGACATAGCTTCCAGGCTGTTGTTAATGTATATGGAATGTGTTGGTCAATTATGTGTAATGTCTAGGAAGTTTGTAGGTGTATGATTGTATGCAGACTTCGTTGTGTAAACAATGTTCAGGTTAAAGTTCTATATGACTTTCCATGAGAAATGTACTAGGTAAATTTATATGTCCTGATGTAAAAAAAAGCTGAATGCAAATGCATTCACAGCAACCATTGCTAGATTGATGATCAGCCTACAACTAGCATAGCAAGTAGTGAACAGAAACAAAATCATCTCAAAGCTTGTGTTCATTCCATGTTTAATCATTAACACATTTACTGATAGCCATGTGAATTGTTTGTAAAATCACAGGAAATGATTGTGTTAATATGTTGTCTATGTTAACAGCTGCCCTAGATGACAATAAGTTGTCTATGTTGACAGCCACCCTAGATGACAATAAGTTGTCTATGTTGACAGCCACCCTAGATGACACAGAGCTTGAGGCTCGGGTTGATGACATCACAGACAAACAGAAGCACCAGCTGAAGCATCGAGAGCTGTTTCTATCGCGCCAGGTGGAGACTCTACCGGCCACACATATACGTGGCAAGTGTGTGGTGACGCTCCTGAACGAAACCGAGTCCCTTCTCTCCTACCTAAATAAGGAGGTGTGTACACCTGTTTAACAGTTACCTGTGTGTGTCATGATGCGTTAAGGTTATTGAATGCCAATTATTTTGATGATGTGATTATATCATTATAACTTTAAAAGTAAAATCAAGATTGCATAGCAAATAAATTGTTGAATTAGCAAGGTAAAAACGAGTTTCCAAGTAACAGAAATATAGAGTTGTATCCAAATTTAGTGTTCTTCACACCCTTATAATAAGCTGTGTTATTGGTTAAGTGGATTACATTTATATGAGTGTTATAACTATGTATCTACTTATTACAGGACACATTCTTCTACTCGTTGGTGTATGATCCCTCACAAAGGACGCTTCTCGCAGACAAAGGTGAAATCAGAGTGGGTGGCCGGTACCAGGCAGATATCACAGAACTGCTCAAGAATGGTATGTCTGTAAATTATTTAAATGACATAATAATGGTTTTTGAGAATTTTTGTTTGATTTTGAAAATGTGAGTGATGATAATTTCCTAATTGTGTGCTTCCTCTTCAACAGCAATAGAAGAAGATGACCGTAAAATGGAGGAGTTGGAAGAACTTATATGGGATCCAAACAGTGGTTTAAATGACCGACAAATTGATCAATTCTTAATAGTATCAAGGTGAGAATTTAATCACTTTCAGACAGCCATATACTGTATTTAAAAAAACCGGTGTGACCATGTTATAGAGAAGGTAAAGAACCATGTTTATGATGCAGTAAATGGGATCATCTATTGTCGTAATGGGTCTCTTCTAGGTGTGAAAAATCTATTTCTTTCCTGATTGTACACAGTAATTATGTTATGTGCTTATGGCCAATATGTTTTTGTCAACAATTTTGTAAATTTGTTTTTCCCATGTTAAAGATTTAAACTTCCATGTTTGTGTTGACAGATCTGTAGGTACATTTGCCCGTGCTTTGGACTGTACAAGTACAGTGAGACAACCTAGTCTACATATGAGTGCTGCGGCCGCATCAAGGGACATCACTCTGGTAAGCCAGATATCAGTGTTGTGAACATATGTTTACTGTAATGAATTTTGGAATTGTGATTTGTTAATTGATATTTCCATTTTTTTGGTAATTTTCAGTTTTCCTACATTAACACACTTGAACACTTTCGTCTATATCATCTTGCAAGTCACTGAATATATTCAGCATCGCAAATCTTGTATTCCGTCTCTTCGTATTGCAGAGTTATCTTCTCTTGTGAGCAGGTATTGATTGTTACGTCATTGGTTTGTGAGAGTAACGTCATCAATTTTTGAGAAAATCATGTAATTTTCTCGCTCAAACCAATGACATAACAATCAATACCTGCTCAGAAGAGAAGATAACTCTGCAATACGAAAGCACGAAATACATGTAGATAAGTACCATAATGTAAAAAAACTTTCCTTGGAAAATGCTTCAGTCTTGACAATTTGATGATGAGCTTATGCCTCTTTCTTGCTTCGAACATAAAACAAATCGGCAATTAAGTGCTTTACGCATTATGTGTTTAAAAAAATAAAAACATTGTCCAAATTATTTTTTTCCTGAATGTTCATAATTTCCAACCATTTCTATGAATATTTCTGCTGCAGTTCCATGCCATGGACACACTACACAAAGCCCGATATGAGATTGCCAAGGCTGTGACAAGCATGGTGCCATCTGGTGGCCCTGTGTTGTGTCGTGATGAAATGGAGGAATGGTCTGCGTCAGAAGCCAATCTATTTGAGGAAGCTTTGGACAAATATGGAAAAGATTTTAACGATATTAGGCAAGACTTTGTAAGTTGACACCTTTTTTTATTCAATTGCGTAAAAGTGAATCATTGATGATAATTATAAGTCTCCCACAGGTACTACCAGAGGGGACTACAGGTGTGCACACATATGTGTAATGTATTCTGTATTCCATCTTTTATTAGCTCACTGGGTCTGAAGGACCAAGGTGAGCTTATGCCATACCGTGGCGTCCGTCGTCCGTACATCAACAATTTCTTTAAACGACTTCTTCTTCTTAACCACTGATTGGAATTCAACTAAATCGGGATACAAAATTGTACAAATGGTTGGGCTGACCCCCCAGGGGGCTGAGGGGCGGGGCCAAAAATGGTTATGTGGCTATACTGCTTTAAGCGAATTCTTCTCTGGAACTAAGAGATGGATATCAACCATATTTGACTGAAAGCATCCCTAGATAGTGGAGATTCAAAATTTTACAAATGGTGGGGCTGACCCCCCGGGCTAAGGGGTGGGGCCAAAAAAAGTTTTATTACTTAAATGGTTGAGATCCCCACCATATAACCATATATACAATTGCTGAGTATAAAGAGAAGAATGCACATTTGCTTCCAGGATGGCTCTAGGGTCTGGCCCCACCCTATGAGACATAGTCCCACGGTCATTACTTTGAAACAGTTGAGATCCCCACCTCAAAACTATATATACAAATGCTGGGCATAAAGAGACGAATGTAGTCATGATATTAGAATAGACCCTGAGGTCTGACCAAACCCCTAGAACCTAGTTTCTTAGTCACAGCTTGGAAACAGTTGAGATCCCCACCCTATAACCATATATACAATTGCTGAGTATAAAGAAATGAATGCACATATGCTTCCAGGATGGCCTTGGGGTCTGCCCCACCCTTAGGAGATTTAACCCCTGGGTCATACTTTTGAAATGGTTAAGATCCCCAACCCAAAACTATATATACAATTGTTGGGCATAAAGAAACGAATGCAGTCATGCTATTAGAATTGACCCCAGGGTCTGCCCCACCCTTGCAGACTTAACCCCTGGGCCATAACTTTGAAACGGTTGAGATCCCTAACCCAAAACTATAAATACAAATGCTGGGCAAAAAGAGACTGGCCACAACCCTAGGGACCTAGTTTCTGAGTCGCAGCTTGGAAACAATTGAGATTCCCACCCCATAACCATACATTCAATTGCTGGGCATGAACAATCTTATACAGATATGCTACAAGGATTGGCCTTAGGGTCTGGCATGTTCCCTTGCCCTTGTATCTCATTTGGAGAATATTTTGCCATGATTGCTTAGATATCCATGTGAGCGATACAGGCCCTCTGGGCTCTTGTAAAAGTTTGTTCTTGGAAAACATCCTAGACTATCAACTAGAATGACTAAATTTGGTTTGGAAGTTGATATTGTGATAGTGTAGTGTTGTATACCAAAAGTAGGTTATTGTGACCAATATTTGTCGTTTGAATGTAATCACTGAAACTGTTATGGGCAAATCTTTTACATTATATTACCTGGAGTTACTAAATTTAGCTATGGAGGTACATCTTGGCATGTTGGAATATGAAAAATAGGTAATTGTAACCTATATTTTGACCTGTGTCTCAATAATAAGAACAGTTTGTTTTGGAATTAATTAGTTTATTACACAAAAATATTTTGCTATGATAACCAAACTACAATTGGTTCGTTGAATGAAATCATTGCTGGTGGAGATGATGGATTGCCTCACAATACTTGGTATGTGGTGTTATCAATCAAAATAGATGTTTAATAAAAAATGCTGTTTTCATGACATTCTTTTTAATTGTTTCAGTTGCCATGGAAATCTTTGAAAAGTATTGTAGAGTATTACTACATGTGGAAGACGACGGACAGATATGTACAACAGGTATGTGTTTGTTATCAGAGTAGCTTCTCATAATGAACTCTGAACACAATACAAAGTTTCCAATGAAAAGTTAATTTGTTTTATAAATTGTATTGCCCTTATCAATGATTTAATTGATGCCATCATGATAAATGAAGACCTTTCCATAGGATGCATGTATACAATTTCCAATATGCCAAAAAAATCATGCACCTGTTTTCCAATATTTGGGAAAACAACAGAAAGATGACATTTATATGATTTGCTGATTGGCCTACATAGTGTTTTGGCAGTGTAGCAGGGACTTTGCATATGTTTTGTTTTGGCCCAGATACCGGTTTCAGTATTAGAAAGCATCAAAAACAAACATGGCAGACTTGCTGACTTTTGGAGAGATGAACTTTATCTCTGTACCCCACATGCTTAAATCAAATAAAAGAAAATGATTTGCAACAAAGAGGGCCAATTTGGTGGTTAAAATAGATGCACGGTGCCTACTATCACACATAGCACACATGTAAAAGGCAACGGAACATCAACTGCATGCGTTCTGATAGATGTTGTAGTGAAAATTACCTGGAATTTATAGGTTAAAATGTTGAATGGTCACCCTCATGATGATAGAATGGAGCAGAACATTTTTGTATGTTATGACATCCTAAAAATGTCCCTAGCCCCCAGGCAAGTAGCCTCTAAATTTCACTAGCACAAGCTGAAAATCTGGTAGCCCCAGGTATTGGACTAGTGGATTTTTACACCCCTGAACAGCATTTGTGTTGTATTGCTGCTTTAATAGTTGATTACAATAAAATTAAATCACATAAATATTCATTTGACGACTAAAGTTGTGAGTTAAACCATGCTTAACTGCATTGACATTATATTGTTTTATTTATAGTTCTGGTTTTTTTGTCTTTTAGAAAAGAATAAAAGCAGCAGAAGCAGAAAGCAAACTAAAACAGGTGTACATTCCTAATTAGTGAGTATTACTACAGACGTCAATTCCTTATTAGCCAGAATTACAGGAATACTGTCCTTATAGATATTGAAGTTGTATTTTAATTACATAAGAAGAATTCAACTGCCTTGAAGTTCAACAATTGAAGTGTTCTTGGAGCCAATCAGCTTGTTTGATAAAAAATAAGTATAACAAATGAGAAATGATGTTGAGAGAATTCTATTATATAAGTTTAACTACGGATGAATTCTGGATTTTGACACTTCATTGTTGTGAATGTTTACAGCAATAAGCCAAACCCAGCAGCAATCAGTGGGAAATTGAATGGTGAAGATGGTCAAGTATCTGGACGAGCTTGTGAGAGCTGTTATGGTGAGTGTACTGGCATCATTGTATTTTACTGTGGAATCATGTTATTCTAAGGTTTAATTGTCTGAATTTTCCTTAGTTTTATTTTTAAATGATATGTCATGTTGTTATAACTCAATTCTCCAAAGTCTCTTTTTTATTTCTTGGAAAGTTTTGAAGGAAGAATAACAAGAGACTTACCATAAAATGATTCCAAATATGTTAATGTGCATGTAATATTTTGTTACAGCTGGCCACTCCAGTCAATGGTACTCTTGGGGTCCAGCACACATGCAGTGTAGGCTTTGTTCCTCGTGTTGGATATACTGGAAAAAATATGGAGGGCTCAAAATGCCCACACGCTTAGGTAAGCATATGGTCCAAGGGAGATAACTCCTTTCTTATTTGGTTGTATAATGTTTTCCCAAAATTTCTATGCGTGGATTTATATATTCAACCCAGAGTCAGTTTTGATGATGGTGAAGACATACTGCAAGTGCTAAAATGCATATATGTATTTACTAGGATGCTTAATTGCTTTAATATGTATCTTTGGTGAAGTATTTGTACCAGGTTAAATCAAATTATAATATTGGAACTTTGTTTTGGACATTTTCCCAAAAAATTCAAGTCCAAGTGTGGAATTTTGTAATAAAACACAGAATAAACTCTTGAAGCAGGATGGTGTTACATCTTATATAACGGAACAAGATTGCTATCAAGAACTCTATATCCCTTTTGTGATGATATATACATCATTTAGTTTATAAATAAACAGTCTCATAGTATTGCTTAGCTTAAATTAGCTTATATATTTTTGATTAGTCAGGTTAGTGATGTGCATTTGAAATATGTATCAGTGTTTTATAATTGATTAAAATTTGTCCGTTTATGATTTGTTATATACTTCATGAATAGTTCATATATTCCTTGATATATTCCCAGAGTTTATTATACTGGTGGTGTATAATTACTTCCGTACACTGATGTTCATACGTGTGAATGTGTTTGATATTTACAGATGGTGAGCGACCAGCCCCTACTCAGAGACAAGGTAAGCTCCATGTGATGATTGTTGTCAGTCTTTCTTGCATTGATTCTATACTACTATTATTGTGATTTAATTGTTTCAGATATATAAAAATCTTAACAAAACCTCCTGTGAAATTGTGTCCTATATCATAATTTGTTTTTGTTTCACATCCTGTTAAAATATTGATAAAAGTTGAGATTGATGCTTTGAATAAATGTCATTGAAGTTTCAAATTGTTTGCATTCATCCATTGATATCAGATTGAGTTACAAGTGAAAAATTAATACATGTTCAATTATTATGTGTTGTCTTTTCAGAGCGAATTGCACAATTCAACATGATAAGGATGCACCGATGTACAATAGCTGGATGTGGTAAGGTAAGTACATGGTTTCAGTTACGTCATTAGGGATGTTCCAGAGTAGATGGTATGGAAGAAATGGGGGAAATCTAATATTAAAAATGCAGATACGAAATTACCTCATTAAAGGGTCTATTTAGTCAAATGACAACCTGAAAATCGAGTCAATACTGAAAATATGTATCTTCTAACGAAAGTTAATGTAATAATGACACGACCTGTAGCCAATGTCCAGTGTGGTCCCCTTCATCTTTTGGGAGAGCCGGTGATAAAATAAGCTACAATGGAAATTGCACAGTATCCGGGCCTTTCAGTGAGAGGTTAACATGTACAGCACTACGCTGCTGACCGACAATGTCAGTGTCAGTCACGAGTCTGAGTTAACACATAACACATTCTTGAATTTATCTTGAATATATCGCTTGTAAGAATCATAATATATACTTCGTATCAGATATTTCTGTTCTCATTTGGATTTGAATAAAAACAAACAGGTTCATATAGACGCACTGAGACATTTTTGTTAGCTAGAAATTCACCAACAGCTGCCGCTAAAACGTACGGCTGTACAGTTAAGGTTTTCTCAATTACTGATTATGAAAGTCAAGAAAACTTTGCCTCTTGTCAATTTCTCGACATGAATTGTTCATAAGGAGTATCAAACTATAATCATGAAGAATTTTGTGACAAGGTAATAAAAAAACCTAACTTCACTGAATTGCCCTTTAAACAAATCAGTATGTTCCCCCCCCTTACATGAATGTTTGATTTCATTGACAGGAGTTTCGTCTGAAGGCTCACTTGGCACGACATCTAGCTACGGCACATGGCTTGGTGGTGAGTGCAGGCAGTCCCCGACCTGTGATGAAGACAAGGGCAGCATTCTGTCTCATCACCACGTCCCTGACCAGAATCTCGCGGCGGCTTTGTCGAGATATTCTAAGGTCACGCCGAGCAGCAAGGTCGCCATTCACGCCAATTAACATAGCAGCTATCAAACAAGAATGTAAGTGTTATTGTTATTATTCTGTACAGTCGCTCTTCATAGTTCTAATGTAAACTAGATCTTCTATGAAAATAGTGCAGCATAAATTCTAAAATCAATATTTTTCTGATTTCAAAAGAAAATCATCACTTTCGATATACCAATATTATAGCATCTAATCTGAAAAGTCTTTTTATGGTGACAAGTAAAACATTAGAATGTTGTTACTTTGCGGTCATTGGGCAAGTTATGATAATAGATTAATTTTACCTCTGAAATTTGAGTCCAATCATCTTAATATCTATACTGAAGCTGGTGTGGTCATTTTTCCAGGTCAGTTACGACTTGCCGAGGTTGGTAACTACGAGCCAAATATTGAACCAATGAAGCCACAGACTCTGGATCCAGTCGTGGCACGACTTGGTATCAACATCAAAATGGAAAAACCTGCACTATTGCTTAAATCAGATTCGGATCACATCAAACCAGAAAAGTTGTACTTCCCAGTGTCGTTATCTCAACCAAGACCAGTAGGTGAGTACATACTATCCTGACTGCTTACTGTTGATCAAATGACTGACTTACTCATAGATTTATGAAATCTTCACGGAAAAGTGCAGCTGGCTCAGATCTTGTGTTTTAGCAATTGCAAAGGTAGTTTTGGGTGTATGTAATATTCTCTGTACCTTTAGCAGTTGTTTTATACAGCTTTTAATTATAATCTTGTGTTATTTTCAATTTTATGTATAATCATATTAACTGTCTACATTTATAAGTAGCCAGGAGATGTTTATGTTGGGGATTTTAGATGCCAGATGCAATGAATAACATATAGGTATTTTATAGCAAAATTGGCAGAGATGAAGGATGGTCTACTGTAAAGAATGTAAATCTTGAAACTGAAAGATAGATACGTTTTCACCAGTAAAATATCACCAATTATCCATGTAATAAAAAACTTGTATCTTCACTGAAGACACCTACAAAATGTGATATCTTAACTTGAAAAGATACCACTTTTAATAATGGCACTTTCTATTCAATGCATAGATTTTCATTTTCAAGTTCCGATGAAGCGACTGCAGAAAAATTGGTTGTTTTGGTACACCTTTGCAACATACAGTTTTTACATAAATACACAATTGATATCACTTTCATTTGGAAATCTTACAAGATAATAGCAGAATTGTATCAAGTAGTCCATCCAAATTTGTACTCTGCCTTGTTGTCAATCGTGACATCATTAGAACTTAGTGTCAAACATTTCGCTTCTAATTCCTGTGCATTTTCACGTACAAAAAGTAGGTCACTGTGACCTATGCTTGACCTTTCACCCTTTTCAAAAATTTGGCTGGGGCATATCTCCTATGCTATTTTACCTTGAGTGACCTTTTGGTGTGCAAGTATGTCTAGGCTTGTTGAGTGCAGAGTACAAGAAGTAGGACACTGAACTAGATCCTGAGATAGGTGTACAGCTCGGGTTAACAAAGAAACCATCAACGGTGGGGGACTACGGATTGCTTGCAATACCTTGCCTTGTACTTTAATTTTTAATTTACTCTTTGACAGAGGTTAAGGCTGTGGAAGTAGAACCATCCTCTATGCAGATCAGTGGGTCACCGTCGATCATGAAGAAGAGGGGTTATGAACAGAGTAACGGTATTGATGGTATGTATCACTTACATTCTTGTTCCTTTCACCTGTTTCTGTCACAAGTCTTTCACAAGGATTTTTATTCCTCTTTTAAGCTGTTGTTTAGGGACCACGACTACTGAAAAGTATGTAAATGGAAGCCTTTTCCAGGAGATTTTTGGTTCAAAGCGATATTTTGAGGGTCTCCTACAATATGTAAATGGAGACTAGAGGACACCTGTCTTAGTTACAATGGGGAATAAAAATCTTTGAGTATAAGATGTATGTGTGTGTTTTTGAACAAGTAGTTATACATAATTAATGGCATTTCCATTAAAAAATCACAAAATTAATGTTAGCTATTTATATCAGACTGATGGCTCTGACTTCTAGAGTCATTTTTTTAGCGTAGTCTGTTCAGACTTAATAGCTTCGTCCAGATGTTCTAATAGATGTGAATGAAGCTCTCCAATTTCCACTAGATTTGAATTTGTAATTGATTAATCTTCTAGTATTTATCTGGTACTTTAGGTTGTTGATCAGGACAATGGTGTTTCCTAACATTTCTTTTCAAGTTGAATACTGTTTTTATCTGGTGACCAGCAAAGCCTTCTAACATACCCAGCCATATCTATAACAGTTCAGAAGAAATGCCAATATTTGCTATTTCATTGTCCTGTATTGCAGGATAAACACCTGAGACTTGTTGCTTATACTGTCCAAGCACTGTAGAATCACTTTTGTGAAAATCAACCCTAAATTAATGATACTACACAAGTCAACAATTTGTAATAAGAAAAATGACTCAAAACTTGAGGAAACCTGTAACCATTAATTGTTGCTCTTATAAATTTTGAGCACATTTCTTGAAAAATTGAGGAAGGAATTTTGTTGACCTTATTTATTTTACACTTTAAAACACTGAGCTGTTATAGTTATCACTGACTTATCAAATTTATTGCAAAATATTTAACTGTTTTAATGTATATATTTATATTTGCAAAACAAATTGAAAAGTGTTCTCACAATTTCAATTGTGCTCGTTAAGAAATTAACTAGACAGTATCTAAAATTTCACTGCAATGTTATGGAGGCAAGTCTGGATGTCATATTGAAGATATTTTACCTCCTAAGGAAGTAATATATAGACATAATTCAACATTTATAAAATCTAAAAATAATGGGGAAAGAAAAAAATCGGTCATTGGCTTATGATGGGAGTTTAGTCATCCTTCAAAGCAGTAATTATTTTCTAAACAACTGAATCCCAGTTATATCATTAATGATAGGTTCTGGAACATTTCGAAAGCTACCTGTTCTGATGTACAATTTGTCATAACAAACAGGAATAGAAACACCAATATTTAAGAAAAAAAGAAGATACATTGTCTGCTTTTGTTAAACAACATATATCAATATTGATTTATATTTTAGATCTACTGAGTGTTCATATTTCCAGCCTTGCATATACAAGGTATTGCTGGGGTTTATAGCGATATTTATTACAGCCCTATCAAGGGAATGATATATATATATATATCACTGCCTTGTTGAGAGAGTGACCGAGTTGATGAGTTGGTGGTGGGAGTTATTGCATGACTGACGTGTTGTTGTTTCTGTGTTTACTAGGACCACCTTCCAAGCGGCCGTCCATGGGAGTCATCCGTCAGATCGGCTCTGCCATGAGGTCACACATGGTAATTACCTACATTAACAGCTGTTCCACGAGCGTGGGACGCCATGTTCAATGTTATAAACCCTGTTGTAATGTAATCACTGGCAACCCACTAACTATCATGTACATGAATTGCCTGGTTCCTGTACCTCTCTGTTGTTCAACTTTACTTTTATTATTTTTTGCATGACATGTCACAAATAGGTAACATAGGCTACTTAGTAAATTATCTTGGGCTGTTCAAGTTTCAAAGTAATCACATAGTGGGCTTTTCAAATACATTAAAAAATAATCTTCTATTGTAATGTCAAAAAAAAAAAGGAAATGGGAAGCAAATTAGATTGGCCAGACTTTGTCAGTAATTCAAATAATTATATATTTTCAGAGGGGTAGTGTACTGAACCACAATATGAATGGGCGTGGCAAGATGCCAGTGTCAAAAGGAATGAGGATGCACATGATAAACTGGATAGATGCTCCCGATGATGTATACTTTGTGGCTACTGACGCCACCAGGTATTACAAATTAAATTTTTTCTCTTAAACATTTCAATTTCATTCATTTTTTTAATTCAGTCACGGAACTTTGAAAAAAAATCTCACTCTTTCCTCTATTGGATAATTACCTCCTGTGTATTTTTTTTTGAAAATAACAATGTTTTCTGTTTGCATAACTGACATTGCATTTGGTTTGACACTAGTAACTCTAGCCATATTTTATTCATAAACAGTACCATCTCTTCTGAGATTGACATAACAGTTTAAACCAATAGTCATTACTAATAGATTTGGGGTTATTAACATCACACCTAATCTGTTTATTGAGTTTTGGTGGTTTTGGGTTGAGATTTGTTGTGGTTTTAAATGTTGTGATTGTAAGAACAATATGCATATACTTAAAGGGTGTTTTTTTTTCTGTAGGAAAATAAGGAAGCAATGGAGCTCTCAAGATTTCAAAAGAACAGCCAGAAACCCCTGGAAGAACATGCTGATCAAGCCAGCAATGGGCGGAGCTGAGTCTGACATAGTGGTCCTTGACTAGACTAGTCACCTGTTGTGTCACTGTGGAGCCTCCATCAGAGGTGACGGGATACTTGTTGTGTCACTGTAGAACCTCCGTCAGAGGTGACAGGACACCTGTTCTCCTCATAGTGCTCAAGTGGTTGACTGATTCAAGTTACATCTCACTGAAGATGAATGTTAAGATATAAAAATACTAATCTTAATGTAATAGATATTTTTTCACAAGTGAGGGATGTGGAAATGAAGGGTTGTTACAATAGTTTTTGTACATCGGACGCGTCCAAAGGGCGTTCCGTGTCTGAATAATACTCCTGGCACAACGGTGGTATGTTAGCTGGGTGTGCAGAACTAATAAGGGAGGATCTGGTGTCCCTAGGGTCTGGATGGTCAGTGACATTCTCTTCATGGGGAGGTGGGTATACTTTGGAAGTGGATGCCTGGCAAGGAAATTTGTGTATTGGAGAAACAAAAGGTGTATTTTGGGTTGGGGGCACTTCCTGTATAGAGTGGTTGGGTTGGTAGACACAGCTGTCTGTTGAGTGTGTGTGAGTGTGTTTTGTTTTAACAGCTGGTGCTGTCAACAACATTGTCATATGAAAAATATTAAGTTTGATGATTACTGCATACTTTTGTGTTCATCTCTGATAAGATCTCTTTAAAGGTATTGAAACAAATCCTGGATTTCAATGGTCGTGGTGATACTTGTTGTCCCCAGGGCAGTTTCTTTTTGTTTCCTAGCCGAAAAGAGATGCCTCCTTTGCGTTAAAATGCCCCTGGGAGTACTGGGTTTTCTGGAATACCCTGACCATCCCTTTAGCAGACTGTCGTCTAAAGTAATGTTTGTGTACCTGTTCGCATGATTTAATGCGATGAAATACGTTTTGAATTGTGCTAAACTTTGCTCGAGATTTGAGAGTTAGCATCGTCCCTTTGGTCAATACATGTAAGTGTGTTCACCTAACTGTGGCAGCTGAGACAGATCTATGGTCTGCTGAGTATACCAGCCATACACGTTGCCCATTTGTACAGTTTTATTGTTAATATATGAATGGAGAGTGAGAGGCACCATGGTAGTATTTATGTGTAGACCGAGGGATCGCTTATACAACAAAAATCACTTGTCATTATTTTTGTATGTTAATTGTACTGAAACTCAAGTACTTGTATATAGTTATATCACCAATCCATCCTAGTTTTGTTTCAAAAGTCTCACAACTCTAATGATACCGAAATGAAATAGACATGACCCACATAATCTATTCCAGAACACTGGACCATGTTAGAGATAAACTATCAAACTGGAAAGTATTATTTACAATGTTCAATGTATATACGAAAAACTGGAAATTCTTCAAAATTGTACATGTTATAGATTACTGTCTGTTGCTGCCAAATCACAGCCAACGTACAAAGCACAGTCAATGTACAAATCACAGCCAACGTACAAAGCACAGTCAATGTACAAATCACAGCCAACGTACAGAGCAGTCAATGTACAAGTTACTAATCTGTAGTTCCCTTCTTTGTTTCGACGATTCTTTTGGTTTATATGTGCAATTCTAAACTATTATCATTAAAGGGTTCAATTATAAGAGAAACATTTAAACTGCTGGATTTATGTGCTCCTGTGCAAAAACCAATAACAATCCATTTTGAAACCTATTTGTGATCTGGGAAAGAGAACTGATCTGGATGGATCAGCCCTAGCAATGATATGTCAGGAAACTTAGTCTGGGTCTAGTGGAATACATTGATGCATTCATTTTGTATGTTTTCTCGTGCGAATTCATTAAACCATTGTTTTCATATATTTTTTTTTGGTCAAAAGCAGTTCAACCATTTAGTGCATTTGTGTGTAAGGTTTCTAGTTTGCATTTGGACAAAAATACAGTCCTATCTTGGAAATTTAAAATCATTGAGTGAAACTGAAAATTGTAATAATCTTCATTTCTTTTTTTTAGTTTTTCTTATGTTTGTTAATCAATATTAAACCACATCAGGTCTGTCTGCGTCCATTTTTCTTTGTGTACAATCTTAGCCATGTGTTACATTTAACAAGTAAAATCAAATTGTATATAGACGAGATTTAAATTTGTTTCATCAAAGTATTATTGATAAGATTTTTATACGTTTCTGGTAACAGATGAAATATTAGATATTTTGTCCGCAGGTCATATCTTCTTGACATTGTACAACACTTAATTTATTCAATTGTATTCATACCATCTTCTGTTTTTGACTTGCAAAACCATCGAATCATAATTAAAATATTGTACATAAACTACATGCTTTTATTTTCTTATTTTTTTCAACCAAAGACAAACACTAGTGGCCTTTCTTCTTTTGCAATCCTCGCACGTTTGGCAATCTTCTTGTTAAATATTATACGTTTTGGTGCTTCAGAAGTCTTTTTGGGTGTTCAAACAAATTTGAGCCATTGACCATGATTTTGAGACAAGGTCATCTCTTTGCAAACTTTGTAGCACTCCAAGCTAGCAAGCTACAGGTCATAGGTCATGAATACACCTTTCTATTCTCTAGATGTAGCTGGCACTTCTTAGCAAATTAAAACCCTATAGCCTTGAACATGGGTCAAGGTTATTTCTTTTCAAAACATTGTACATATTTAGCCCTTTTGGATGATGAATAAGAGACTTTTGGTTCATTTGAAGAAGGCTTTGAATTTGAAATATTTGAACCTTGTGATCTTTAAGAGATCAATGCAATTTTTAGCTCACCTAGCCCGAAGGGCCATGTGAGCTTATGCCGTACTGCGGTGTCGGGCCGTCAACTTTTTCTTTTGAACTACTTCTTCTAAAGAACTGTAGGACCTAGGGTCCTGATATTTGGCCAGTAGGTACCTGGGATGGAGTGCTGTAAATTTTCCTCATTAAAATGACATTGGCCTACTTTCAAGGTCACAGTGGTCAAATATGTGAAAAATTTCAAACAACAATATTCTAATAACCATTTGAACTAGAGTCATGATACTTGGGTATGATATGTAGACCAGCAGTGCGAATATTTTTCTCAATCACAGTAATGAGGTCAAAGGTCGACTTTAAATGCTAGTGGGGGGTCAAATGTCAACTTTGGTTAAAAGCTTTAACAATCTTCTTCTCAAGTTCAATAAGACCCAGGGTCATGATAATTGGCCAGTAGGTACCTGGGATGGACTGCTATAAAGTTTTCTCATTAAAATGATTTTGACCTACTTTCAAGGTCACTGGGGTCAAATATGTTAAAAACGTCAAACAACACTATCCTAAGAACCATTTGGACTAGGGTAATGATACTTTGGTATGTTATGTAGACCAGCAGTGCAAATATTTTTCGGTAATGAGGTCAAAGGTCAACTTTAAGTGCAAGTCGGGGTCAAAGGTCAACATGGTCATTATATTTGACCAGTAGGTGACTTTCAAGGTCACAGGGGTCAAATATGTATATCCTAAGAACCATTTGGACTAGTCATGAGACTTTGGTATGTTATGTAGACCAGCTGTGTGAATTGTTTTCTTTATTACAGTTATGAGGTCAAAGGTCAATTTTAAATGCAAGTCGGGAGTCAAAGGTCAATATGGGTTAAAAGCTTTAAAATTAAAATTTCAAGTTTCAAACAACAATATCTTCAGAACCGTTTAACCCTTTCACCCCTATATAACTTCAGTAGACTCTACCATGCATTGATCTGGGTGAATCAATTATTGTCTGCAGTCGTGAAAGGGTTAAGAGATGTTAAAATGTCTGTGTTCTAGTTACCAAATTCGGTCTTAAGTTACCTATATGTCAGTTGCATGTAACAAAAGAAACAGGTGAGCGATACAGGCCCTCTGGGCCTCTTGTTTTCCAAAACTGTCCGGCTCCATCCATAATCCTAAGCTCTCTGTTTCTGGAGAAAAGTCGATTAAGTAAACTTCCAGGCAATTGGTGCCTTGTGAGCTGGTTTAGAATTGCCAGTTATATACAAAGTCCACAATAAAAGCCACAGAAATCCTCTAAAACTGGCTTGTATTAATGAACTTGTGAATGTCCACATTAAAAATGTAATTAACCGATAAAATTCACTTTTGACAATAATCAACTCGCCAAGGTCCACTATATATTCAACACACAAAGCTTAACAGAACAGCTGACCTGTAAATGTTGAACCCCTGAATTCCATAGCTACTCTGATTTGTCTCAAGTCCATTCCCACAGTACCATTATGCATGATAAATTAAGGTACCAACCTTCATGAATCACACTTTGATATTTTATTCTGAGCAGCTCCATATACAGTAAATTTTCAATGTTTATGATAACTGGGTCTGAATACTATATTTTGGAATATCCATCGCACGTCAAAACTGAGTGAGAAATTCCCTCCAACATATATTTTGGTTACCTGACATGACCTTGTGGTATGGTGCAGGTTTGATCCTTATGTCATCTTGAAAATTGAAGGACTTGTGGTCCTGATATTTGGCCAGTTGGTACCTCGGATGATTGTCATGAGGTTTCCTCGTATATATGACCTTGACCTACTTTCAAAGCCACAGGGTAAAATATGTTGAAATTTCAAGCTTAATTTTCTGAAGAACCATAATTATGTGGCATGATATGTAGACCAACAGTGAATCTTTCTGAACGGATTAGAGGATTTAAATTAAATTTGGTCTGGAGCATCCTTGTGCCAAGGGCACTCAGTTTTGTATAAATGGTGGGTGAGGTGCCCCTGGGGGCAGAGGGGTGGGGCCGAATAGGGGAAATAGAGGTAAAATCTTTAAAAATCTTCTTCTACCATAGGGATTAAGGGATTTTATCCTAATTTTGTCTCCATCAAGTTGGCTAGTAGTGCCTGTAACTATAAGGGTGTATTCATTAAAATAAGATGGCTACTAGGCTGCGATCTTGGATTTTGACATTTGAAGTTTGTTCTTGCTAGAAATACTGGATGGATCTTTCTGAAATTTCATAAGTACATACAGTACCTACCATAAAGTACTATATCTTTACCTCTTATCAAGTTCTTTAAACATATACAGGAGAGCGATACAGGCCCTTTGGGTCTCTAGTTTTTTCTAATTTAATGTGTTTGAGTCAAAGGTCAAACTTGATTGCTGGCAGGGTCAAATGTGTATACCGGTAATGACTTAAAAACTTTGAGAATCTCCTTCAATTTCAGAAGGTGCAGAGTCGTGATATATTTCCAATTGGTACCTGGGTTGGAATGCCGAGACATTTCCTTACATAAATGACACTGCCTTACTTTCAAGGTCACATGTTGGGTCCCATCCTATAACCATGTATATTGAGATGATACACAATCATACTACCAGAATATTAGCCCTTTGGAAGGTTCCTGTCCAAGGGACTTCATCCCATGGTCACCACATGTAAAAGACTGAACCCTATAACCAGTGTTGTCTGGCTGGATGCAAAGCCAAAAAGGGAAAACCATGGCTAGTGTTGATGTGTGTATTGATAGAGTTTAGTCAGGATAAAAAAAAGATGTCTTTGAGCAATAAAAGTGAAGGACCTTGGAAGCAGGAACTCGAGATTTTAACATGAAACAGTCTAATGGTGATATACAGTATACACATACTGTATACACATACATCAAGTTAAATGCGAAAACGTTTCGCTATTTAGAAGTTATGATCTGGGAAAGCACAATATTTATTTGATCACAGATTTCGTTAATGAATTTAAAGAACCAAGAAATGCTCATGCATGTACATGTATTACGATAATTTGACTTTTGACCCCTTGTTTTGACTCATCTGAAAATGGCACACAACACTGTCTAGATATAACATATTTTCACCAAATTAGTTTTAATTGGAAACTTATGCCAAGGTGCAGTGTCTGTGGTCAACTTTTGATTTCACCTGGCCCAAGTCTGACCTTGCAACTCTTTGAAATGCAAATAACAGGTGAGTGATACAGCCACATTGGACCTCTTGTTAGTCTTGTCAGTTCAGGAGCAAACGTCCTGTTGTACAATGTCATACTAGATTAACGATATGAAATAAAACATCAATATACTACATGTAATGCATATACATTTCCGGATTTATGGTAAACACCATTGATATATCCTAAATGAAAGCTCGTCAAATTCCTTTCTAATTTTAGAGATGTAGTCTGTCATATAAAGCCTTCTCTATATACCAGTAAGCTATCCTTTGACAAGATCATCCTTGTTGAATCAATGTTGCTGTGCTATGAATATGGTTGATACATGATTTCCCCCGATTTGGGTAATAATAATCCAATGAAATGTTAGCAGTTTAAATAATGTGTCTGTCTTCAGCAGGATCAGTTAGAAACGTGTACAACACAATTCACATACCTGTTAGAAATGCATTGTAATAATTCTAATGTGATTGCTGTAAAATTTAGACTAGAATCTTGTTTATAAATTTAACACTGTTTTTATTACATATGAATTCAGTGTAACATTTCAAAACAAATGTCATGTTTCCATCAGGATCCTACCAGTTAAAGAGACCAGAAGACACGAGATTTCCTTGTCACATACAAATGTTGTCTCCCGTGCATGGACGGTGCACCAACCTCCATCCACATTTGAGTATCTCCCTCCATCTGGATACCATTAAATGAGATCCAAAAAATTGTGAAAAAATAATCTTTTCGAAGCAAATGTATATTATTGCCTGTATTGTTTATGACTCAAGGACTATGGTCACAACTTCAGATTATGCAAGATACATGTCATACGTTCATGTTTTCAACATTACATTATCAGATCTGAACTAAATTTCCTCTGGTGAAAAGCCTAATTTCTGTCACCATCAAACAAGAACACATTTGGTTTCATCACAGAAAATGAACTCTGTGTAATGATCACGAGTGTCCAGGCATCTGCCCAAATGAAGTCCTTACGGATGCACTTTTTGGTTTCTTCATCATGGCGTCGTCGTAAGACTTTACAGTGATGCAGACCTTTGGGCCGGTGCACCAGAGAGCTCCGTCCCGATCCTCCACTGCTGCCTCTATAGACACAGAGTGTACTCCACTGATAGGAAACGCCAGTAGGAAACTCACACTGAAGTAATCATTGTGTGGCGACACACTCTGGCTCAAGGTGTTTGTCGTCAGGGAGTCGTTCATCTGCTGGGTCAAAAGGTCACAAAGACAATGAGTGATTGATATGTACAGTACAGTTCAAGTTAGTGTGATTCAGTAAGTGGAAATGTGATTGATAAAATAAAAGTGGATAATCATGGCTTTTTACACTGCAACTTTTATCATTAATGACTAATGATGCTTTAAAGCTATAAGGTATTAAAAAATTGTTTGTGATAATTAAAATACATCATTATAGAAATATTTCAAAAACATAATTAAGCACTGAACTGTTTTTGTATTGCATTTATGATCTATATGAATAACACAGCTTTGCAAGCAAACAACATCATGTGCACTAGCGCATTATGATTTGTTTGCAAAGGTGTGTCATTCAAATAGAACAAAAATGCCATACAAAACAGTTCAATCCTTATATTTACGTTTTCTCCGCCGTTCACTTTGTTCAATTTACAAATTATATTTAAAATTTAATAAAATTCCCGCCTTATCGACAGTCTGCACAAATTTGCGTATTGTCGACTGATGATTGGATGAGAGTTGTGTCTCGTGGTGAATGTCATTTAAAGTCTCATCAATGACACAGCTTTCAAGTAGGTTATCTAGTGACAATGCCATGCAAATGTAAATATTTCAATATACAAACATACACTGATCACTTCTAATAAGATCATGGTGATTTTGTGTCCTACATACTAAATTTATATCAACCAACTGACTCGGTTCCCTTTACATGTTGAAGTCTGATTTCTTTATTTTATCATAATCATGTACCTTGGAGTCTGTGCTAATTTGGTTTCTGTTGACCAGTGTGGTTGTGACGGTCAGTCGAACCTGACCCACACTGCGGTACAGCTCGCGACGCTGACCATGCTGGACGATGCCCTCTACCTTGAGTGTGAGGAATGTGTCGTGGTGGATGAGGATAGGCTCCATCTGGGCATTCTGCTGAGGAGACACTGCCAGCTACAAACAAACCATAAACTTATAAAACTGTTTAGAAAGACAACAGGAGAATAATTCTAATGTATACTTACTGTCAGGTTTTACACCATTTCCATGAAATTGATATTAAGATCACTTAACAAATGCATGCGGCATACGTTGGAAATAGCTGTTCTGGAAAATTAGATTTCTCTGTAAACAGGATTATTTACCTTTAGTGTGGTGCACTGTAGACGCTGGAAGAAGAACCTGGGAAACCTAAAAGTGGCCTGTATGAAACCCTTCACAGCCTGTAGTAACAGGTCGATGTGCTGAAATGTGTCACAAAAATATAAACACACAAATTAGTAACAGGTTGATGTGCTAGAATACGACACAAACATATACACACAGAGTAGTAAAATTTGATGTGCTGGAAAATGAATCACCTGTTAAACACATAACTGTACACCAGTGTTGGGTAAGGACTATTACATATATAAATGTATGAAAGGGAGGCTCTTGTAACTATATAAATATATGAGAGACTATCACATATGTAGAATGCATTATGACAGAGAACCATGACTACATATAGAAGTTACCTTGTGTGTGAGAGCCTGGCTTACCTATGTAGCATTTACTTTGTATGTGAGAGCCTGGATTACCTATGTAGTGTTAACTTTGTGTGAGAGCCTGGCTTACCTATGTAGCATTTACTTTGTATGTGAGAGCCTGGATTACCTATGTAGTGTTTACTTTGTGTGTGAGAGCCTGGATTACCTATGTAGCATTTACTTTGTGTGTGAGAGCCTGGATTACCTATATAGTGTTTACCTTGTGTGTGAGAGCCTGGAGTACCTATGTAGTGTTTACCTTGTGTGTGAGAGCCTGGATTACCTATATAGTGTTTACCTTGTGCGTGAGAGCCTGGATTACCTATATAGTGTTTACCTTGTGTGTGAGAGCCTGGAGTACCTATGTAGTGTTTACCTTGTGTGCGAGAGCCTTGATTACCTATGGGGTGTTTACCTTGTGTGTGAGAGCCCGGATTACCTATGTAGTGTTTACCTTGTGTGCGAGAGCCTTGATTACCTATGTAGTGTTTACCTTGTGTGTGAGAGCCTAGATTACCTATGTAGTGTTTACTTTGTGTGTGAGAGCCTGGAGTACCTATGTAGTGTTTACCTTGTGTGTGAGAGCTGGACCATGATCCGCCTGTAAGAAGCTATCTATGTTTAGCTGTACTTGCTGAACTGCCTTACTAAGCTGGTCCTTGTGGCTAGAAGTTGTTGGCATCCAAATCTGCTGATGACACCTGCAGTCAGAGGATATCTAAGTTATATGTGTGATCATCCTGACACAAAAAATAGCATTGACATTTTGAAATCACATACAAACTATTCTATCTTACTCATGAATCTGTTTAATGCACCCTCTGTAACTTGTCTGTAAAATGTATCTGGGTAAGCTTTTATTATGTAAATAACTATACTATAATATTCTGTGACTAATAATGATTATCTCACTTCTCAATATCATATTTGCCTTTATTTTAACATATATTTAAAAAAACCCCAAAAAACTCTGCTAATACTATAAATAGACGTAAATTTATTTATTATTAAGTAATTTAAACCAAAGCCCAAAAGTTGTATCTGTTTTACTAAGACCATACCCTGGTGAGTCTGGCTTGACAACAGTCAATATTGCTGATTTCATCACCTCACAACACTGCTGGAGTCTGAACAAGGTTAAGGTTATACTGTAGAGATGATAGTAAACTGGCATATTATGAGGCTAGTGAAAATTCATTTTCAACTTATAAATAACATTACTGCAGGATACCACTGAAAAACCTACCAGAGATAAATCAGGCATTTTAGATATCTGAATTGAAAACAAAAATAAACACAAGGGATTTCAGAAATAAATTTTGTTCTGGAATCTTTTATAACTATAATGACCGAAATTTATATACATGTATTACTAAATGGTCAGATCTAGGCCGCTTTCGTTTATCGCGATCCAAACGGTTGAAATGGTTGAACCAGAGTTGTTTGTTTAGGAAATAAGATCTGGCCTATTAATCTGTTGCTGTTTTCAGTCGAGCCTTAACAAAGCCTTGCAAGGCCTGCATAAACTTTTGCAGGTCCGCCAGGATCTATACCCAAAATTTAAGGGTTTGTATAAGGGAGGTAATCTAGTGTCAGTGGCTTGCATGAAAGGGACTTAATTTGAATGTACAGTATAAGAAAGAATGATGTGATTCCAAGTACTGTTAGTGTTTGGTAAGGATACAAAATGATGTTCCTCAGTGTATGCGGGTCAGCATCAAAGGATGATTGGTACAGGGCAGAAAACTTGGTGCTCAGGTTCTCGTAGTCACCCATACTCTTGTTGAGCTACAGTACAATAAATATAAAATTAGATATTCATGTTTAAGATCAGGGCCGTATTTATCCTAAACCCCAAGTTATGTGACCAAAAAAACCCATCTTTCTTGTAACTCACATAGTTTTTACAACAGATTAAAAAAGTAACACTTCAAACAAAAAGATAAGTACCTCAAAAATATTACATAATGTGAGATTTTAAATGGTAATTATGCACTCCAAATCAGAATTGAATTGAAGCAAAATATCAGAATCTGAGTATAAGAATAGTCCCATATCACACTGATTTGAGATTCTATTCAAACTGAGCCGTATCAAACATAGAGAAATCTGAAGTGATCAGGTAGAATACAAGGAATGACATGCTTCCTCATTCATGTTTACTTTCATACAAAATTAATGAAGTCTCTATGCCATATTTTCATTCCCCCACAATATTTCATCCCAACATCAAATGTGATTACTAATGGTTACTTAACTGATACTAAACAATGACTTTTCAAGTAATGGTGCAAAACTGCTGTGTACTATCTTAGATGACACTGACCTGAGACAGGATCTGGCCACAGCGAGAGATCTCACGACCACGTGACATGGCGAGAGCGGTGGAGATTGCAGGTGGAGGACAGGTGCGAAAAGTGTTACAGTTTCGCACCAGCTGGCAGTGGGCCTGGAGCAGTTCTGTCCTCAGACGTACATACCAGCACTGGAACTGGAGTGGGGAGTTGGGTGTTGCTGCTGCCTACAACACAGAATTCAAGGGTGTCTTAATCGAACATGTCTGAATTTATAACTGTTTCTTTGTAAATGAAATATACAAATGTATGTGTTTTCGAAATAAAAATGTTCAATTTAAACTTGTACATGTATATGGCATTCGGTGCAATACAATGCCTCTTTTAAGAAACAGACTAAGTGGTAATAGATGAATGAAGATAATTTTATTTCAAGCATTCTTTAAATTTGAATAATTCTAAATTTTTAAAATTATTCCATTTCTAAAGGCAATTATCAAATGATAAATAGTTATTATACTTTGAGAGCAGCTAGTCCCTTCTGGTAATGCATCATGGTATCATCTATCCTGATGACATCACTTCCTGTTCCAGTGTCACAGAGGTGAGCCTCAGCATCACAGATCTCGTGTAATCCCAGCATCCAGAAGTGGAAGTGCTCTGATGCCACCCTCCGCGACAGCATGCTGAATAGATCCGTAGCCACGTGGTACTGTCCATACCGCATGGCTTGGCGACCCAGTTTATAAGCAAACCAGGGACTAGTGGAGGATTCCATACACCCAATCACAAGCTCTCTTACATTCATTGGGACAGGCTTACCATCGGCAGCTTGGAACAGCAATGTGCCAATGTAAGTCTGAAAATACAAAAAAATAGTTTGCTACACTTTTCAAATTCATGTACAAAGCAGTCCAACTATAAAATCAGATGATTTCAAGCAAGTATCTATGAGATGAGGTCCTTACTTCCTTTTAATTATTATATCATCAGACTGCTATGCAGTGAAATAACACATTCACATCAAGTTTGGATATGTAACATGTTTCAAATCAACCATTGTGATGTCACAGGTAACAAATGATCACATCACAGTACACACATGAAAAAGCAAACATGGAGTTTTCAATTACAACATTTCTTATCATAAACATAAAAACCTATAAAGTCTAAACTGAGATCCCCGACTTCAGACTCAACTGACAAAATGCTTTGAACCAATAACCAATAACCATCAGCATGGACTTCTGTAAAATATGTGATGACGTCAATAGATGTGTATGTACACAAATTTTACTGTAGTAAGCCCCTGTACTAACCTTGAGCTGACCTGACACTTTTGGTTGTTGGCTGAGATTCTGGAATATGTAGAGCAGCTGTGGCACGATGTCCAAAATAACATCACTATTCTGTTCTCCAATGGCTGCTAGGCATTCACACAGCATTAGACAGTTCTTATCTAGGGTCAGAAATACAACTTTAATATACCAAAAATGTCCATGTTGATCTGAGAAAAAAGATGTCCAAATAATCAATCAGTCCTGATTCATGCAGACATGAAAATAGGATTAATTGGTTGAACTTATAATATAAATACTTTTTAAATTGCAAAATTATACCAAAAACCAACAAAGTATAAAGATATTTCAGGTTGATAATTTTGTCAAATGGCTACCATCCCTTGTCAAATTTTGATAAGGTAAAATCTACTGGTATATACTGCTAATTCTGTAGAGTTTATACACCTAACTATAAATTCTGTTAAGGTAAAATCTACTGGTATATACTGCTAATTCTGTAGAGTTTATACACCTAACTTTAAATTCTGTTAAGTGTCACAAAATGATTTACAAGAAATACAAGGTTTTAAAGTAAACGGAAGTCTTTTACCATTGGCCATTTCTAGAAGCTGCACTATTTCTGTAGCAAAGAAAGGGCCTGTCTCAGGGTAGACCTCTGCCAGACGGACAGCACAGTGAAGACAAACCTGTAACGCGGAGAAACACTGTTGTTCAAACTATGGCCCAAACACCTTGACACATGTAACTATACACTTATGTCTGGGGTTCAGAGGTCACAAGTTGGAAACCATGTCTGGCAATTGTATTTTTCCATTGCTGTAATACTAACATACAAACTTACACACATTTGTGCACTTGTTAATATTTAATCCCACACAATGAATGAATATTTTTTTTAATTCCTCTAATGAATACTAACATTTGGACCACCTGTGTTGTGAGTCTTGATGTCGATTCCCTTACAATTACAATTCTACACTCACATCAGTACATACTTCTTTTTAGTTGAAGAACTTCAGCAATAATGACAATATACAATAATGAATTAACAAATTAGAAGAATCTCCATATACTGTACTATATAAATACCTAAAGCCACTCCCTAACAATAGGATGTGGGTGTTTGTGTGTTACCTTGAGAGCGGCCTGGTCCTGTGAATCAGCACTCCAGGCAGACAGGCAGATCTGAGTTGTGAGAGAGAGGCGAGCACCAGACACAATGTTCTCATCTGGATTCCATACAGGACAGTCTGCAGAAAACAGAAATGTAGCTAAATCACCTCAAGTTTGTTGTGTTACAATTTCTATCCTTAATAGTACTGACATTTAAAACCTATTCACTTGCTATCAATTTTTCTTACTTGGTAGAATACTTGACCAATACACTAGATTTGGATTTGGCCCCAATAGTCTAGCACAGGTTCTAATCTAAGGATGACACAAGTCCTGAGGCTGATATATGTGAGTCGTCTGTACTTCGTAGGTCTAGCATAATGCTCACTTTCGCTCTCTGCATCCCTGGAATATGTCATAGCAATATTGAAGGCTCAGTGTGCGCCACCTTGTAGGTACATGAAAACTTCCATACTGTATAAAGGGAAACAATCCATGTTTCAGAGATCCCAAATTTCTGTTAACTGATTGAACTTACTACTCTTTTTGTGACAGATGGCAACGTTTGTGAAGAAGTGTGTGGCTGAGGCTGACAGACTGGCGTTGTCACAGAGGTAACACAGATTGCAGACCTCTAGAATTGTCTTCATCTGGTTCTCCGACACTACAACATAAAACAGATACCTTGTAATTCACCAGTTCTGGATGTTAATATTTTCAATATGGTACGGTACAAATCATTTTTGACAATATGTTATGGGCTGGTAATAAATTGATTCTTTGTTTGACCATCTGAGGTCTAGGTATATCTTTTTTGTAACCATCGACCTTCAGTCCCATAAGTCAATTCAATACATAATGTATATCATTGCACATACTTTTCAAAACATGAATATGGCAAAACTGTAACACATTTACTAGGAAGTCTTAATTAGAATGCACTCATTTTCAAATGTGTGATAGAAAATTTCTATACAGTTAATCAATTGAGATCATGAAATATATATATTTCCAATAGTTGTCTTTAGAAGTTAAATCATGAATTCAGTTAGGTAGCCAATTTTTTTTCGGATGTATGAGAACAAGAAATATACATATCGTCTTGTTGACAGTTCGTTTGGTGATTTCAAATTTTCATTAAGAAATTTGCAGTAACTTGATACTGTGAATTGAGTAGATAGTTAAGAGCAATATTTATGAGTTACCATCTTTCTGCATGTAGAGCTGGAAGGCCACAGAGCCAGACAGGGTGGACAAGACCTCTACACCAGCAGTCTTCAAGGCAAGGGACTCCGCTGACAACACAAACTCACACAGGGCCTGTGGGCAAAGGATATCACGCAATTAGGGCAATTGAGTTGTAACAATCAATCAGGGTCAAATTGATTTATATGAAGAAATTACCACAACTTCATTATAAAAAAAAATCAACATAACACATGAATATATTGATATTCGAGTTCTAGAGTAAAATGTGAAGCTGCTTTTTTTTGGTCATTGACAGTTGTATACTTGTTCAGTAGTATATATAAAAAAAAAAATCTACACCCTTCCTTTTCTCTTATTTTTAGACTATATGAAGTTAGAGCTTTTTGTATTATGTCAAAAACATCAATTAAATGCTAGTTAAGATACTCCTGCTGTTATATATGATTTGTATCACCTAGGTTTGACTGGATAAGAGGAACATTAACCACTACTGCATTACCTACTTATGGGACTCACAATTTACACAAACATGGGTCCCCAGCACTCATAAGTAATAATCCTAGATTCATCATTGATTACTCTATTTTAATGTTTTTGTTAAAAAAAAAAGCTTTGTATTTAAAGGGGCTGGTCGGGGAAAAAAATACAAAATAAACGGGTGTAAATGCGTTCTCTGGCCTTCCAAAAGTTATATCACGGCAATATGATGGTCGAGTTCTGCTTGCAATGTCCAGTTTTGACCACTGAAATCTTGAGGATGCCCCGCGTAAATTTAGCGCAGATCTATTTATATATGTCACGTGGTTGTTTCGAAAGTGAGGCAGTGAAGATAACAACAATAGCACGCCGTCATGTACCATGTCGGACTCAACTAGCGGACAAGACAGCAATACTATACATAAATAATTGTTTTCAAGGGTCATGTATGATGCAAGTGTAGTATTCCTACCTATATGTTGTTGTTATATATAACGGTATTGATACCTCGTGCCTGTCATGACTTTTGCATGCATCTTTTTCTTTCGCCGCGATGTTTACATTTGGCCTTGTTGATGACTCGCGTGCGGTAAAATTACATCACTGATCTGGGTCAATTGAGAGTTTTAGACTGTCAGGTGACGATTTAGGATTTCTTTAATATAATTATAATTTTTACTCTTAGGGAGTGAATTTCGGCAAAATTTGTATCGGTATATTTCATAAGAAGGTATTTTAAACATGTGTATGCCATTTTAGCAAATATGACATTTTTGTCCCCGACCAGCCCCTTTAACCAAACTGGCCAGTCAGTTTATAATAGTTCATTGTACTGGTAGCTACTGAAAGGGCAAGGGAGATAACTCCTATTGGTAAAATTCACAACATAAAAAAATGATTGCCTAAGCAAAAATATGAGTATTGCAAACACAATTTTATTTTTTAATTTCTACACTGCAGAGTTTGAAGAGTAAACACAATTATGAAAATGTCCACTTTTACAGGAAATGAAAATACCCCTAGCTAGTGTCTATCCCTACCTCCACAGATGTATGTGTCCACAAGTGAGGAGTCTTCCTTGCCAGGCTGTTCATGTCTCTTAGGATGACAAACTTGACCACAGTCCTGGGATCTCTCCTCAGACAGGACATCAGCAACTGCACATGTGACTGGATATCCACCAATGACTGAGCAGCTAGTTGTGTCATTGTGTGCAGGGTCAAGGTCATGAATTTCTGAGCAGGAAATTTGGCAAGTAGATCCTGACACACCCCTCTGGCCTGAATCAAGTAACCAGTGCCCATATTAAAATGTCGTTTGAACATTCAATATGTACTTTTCCAGTACATGAACTTTTTTGTTTATGAAATATATACAGAAATATAAGTGTTAGCCAAATATTAATGGATTAGTATAAGTGTGTTGTACCTTTGCTGCAGTGTCCACGTCATGGTGCATGTGTTGGAGGATGGGGATCAGTCTCAGCTTCAGGTCCACTGGTGTGGCTATCTGTTCTATCATAGTCGCTATCTTACTACAGATGTTGGCGGCAAACGTGCTAAAGATAAACCATGACAAAAGCTAGGAAGTGAAGAATGAATAATCAGATACACAGATTTATTTGGACAATATGTATAAAATATGTACAAGATTTACAATCTATAATTGTTATTTTACAGTTCTTATTTCAATTCTTTCTTAAAACAATATTTTTGTGGTTGATTTTTTTAGTGGTCAAATGGTTTAACTGTCATTTTATTCAGTATATAAAGTATTCCCTTATCTTATATAAAAAAAGTATGATTTACTTCTTATTTGTAAATGAGTTAAAAACATTCTTTTCAGAAGTTACATATCAGTGTACACTGAAATAGTCTATTGTTTCTTCTACATGCTTACTGTGACTGAGCTGCAAACCGCTTTGCTGCAAACACAGCTGCGTCTACCTCAAGACGATCGTTGGAGTCGAGGCCAGTGACAATGGTGTGGTGCACTGTCTTACGCTCCGGTATCACACTAGCCATGCTCCCCAAAGTTCTATTCAACAGAAACACATTCGAGCTGTTCAAACGATGATATGTTGAAGATTATACATTATGTATTTTATGTATCTTACTTACCAAATTAGTATACATGGAAATATCTATGGTATATTTTTTTTAAATCTAGGGATTAACCATAACATGTATCTTTAAATACAAAAAATACCTAAAATATCAAAATATTTTATTCAACAACAGATGTGGGAGAACAGCATAGCTTCCCTTTTTGAAAATTTGAACTTCAAATAGGCAAGCGATGCTGTTCTCCAAAATCTGTTGTTGGATACGAACTGTTGCTGTCCAGAACAGGTCGAATATTTTGTTCCAAAGTTGATTTCTTCTGTTTTGACTCACCTGCATCAATGTTGGAACCCCATGGAACATAAATGCCAAATATCAATCATAATTCAACACTTACATCACAAGGTGATGCCTATGCCACTATAAACCTATGGGTCAGGGTCCTGGCCTTTGAGTCCTCACTGTATATATGCAAGCCTCGAGTCAGGGCCCTGACCATCGAGTCATTACTGTATATATATACAAGTCTGTGAGTCAGAGCCCTGGCCACTTGGTTATCACTGTAGATACAAACCTGTGAGTCAGAGCCCTGGCCACTAAGTCACAGGTTTGTATGTATACAAACCTGAGAGTCAGGGCCCTAGCCACTGGGTCATTTCTGTATGTATACAAACCTGACAGTCAGGGCCCTAGCCACTGGGTCATTGCTGTGTATAACAGAAAATATCCTCCGTACAAACTCGTCCACATTGAGGATTTTGTCTAGATGTTTCTCACTCTGTAGTGTCACTCTGAGAATACACCATCTCAGAAAGTTGTTTCTGTAAGAGAAAAACATTTAACTGTTAATACTGTCAAAGAATGGAATAAGTTTTAGAATCACTCTTCCTAAAAAAATCTATCTACAGGTCAAAGGTGAAAGTGTGAAATTTATTTCAAACTTTCTGACACTAAGTTACTTTTAGGATAAACATTTTTTTGAGCAGAAATATGCTATTTCAGCATATGTTTATTTATATACATGAATCAGTTCCTAATATCAGTACCATGAACTGTACATTAAAATGTTGTTGTAAAAATTCAAGTGCGATTAAAATGCTACATACCAAAAATATTTTGTTCATTGAAGTATTCGCTCATGTTCACTGAATAAATCCAAATAACCCAACATTAATTTTGGCCTTTAAAGTAGAAATACTATCACAGGTTTCTGTGTATTTCACTATCATAATTAAGGTTATCCTTCTTGTAGTACAGTTTTAACATATATGCAGCAGCACCCACTTCACCCTCAGTTGAGTTACTTCACTTATACTATATATATATAAAGTATAACTGGATTATAGGGATATCTCAATATAATTAATGACATAATCCTAATGGTCTGACCAACAATTATTAGCAAAATGGATTGTTATTTGGTCAACCTGATTGCTATCTTACCCAGCCCTAAAGACATCAGATAGCCTGAGAAAGGCTGAGTTGATGAGAATTGGAAATGGATATTTCTCAAACAGTCTTGGAAAACGGATAACAGATTCACACTGGACTCCAGGCTTGGCAGAACGGAGGCCTATAAAACCGAAAAACTCGAGATGAAATATACATAAAAGAGAAACACATCCATATTATAAACATGTGATAATTATCAAACAATTTTTTCATTTAACAATCATAAAAAAACCTGATCAGTGCAGCTGACTTAGCTATTGTTATGCCACCGATCTTAAGATTTTTTTATATCAGAATCTAAAATATTATCAAAGATATTATTTAATTATTGTAACATACAGACATCATCATGTGGCATTACCGGAAACACCAATAATAAAACTGGGAAATCAATTCATAATGAAGAGATCTTTTAAAACCTGGTAAGACAAGTATTTAGACTTGACAGAAATGCTTGGACAAATGTCAGTTCTACTCTGTATCAATCTTGTTTTTTGCACCTATGCATAATAAGTTATAAGAGTAGAAAAAACCCATTTTATACACACTGTATGTGAAGATATGAACTGATACAACAGTGAAGAGATGAAATGTCTATATTGAGACATTCAATTAAATGTTCACCTTTATCAAGGTCAGTTAATGCTAAGTTTGCGTCTTGTTCTTGTTCAACCGATGCGTTTTCTTGCATGATGCCGGTAGCCGATGTTTGCAAAGGGAACGACACGGAGGCTGCCATTTTGTCATAACGCAGTAAATACAATTTTTAACCAATCAAAGTTCAGAGATACGCACTGCAGTCACATGAGAGGAAAATGGCGGAAGAGACGAAAAACACGATAGCTTTGCTAAATGGCTTAGCAAGAAGAACATATTACAAAGAAGATGAGATTTCAGACGAATTCTTAAAGAGTCAGATATACCCAGAAATGGATGATGAAGAATTCAACAGACTTGTATCCAGGTTCTCAGGACTAATGAAGGCAAGAGCTTGTGAACATATAAACAAACACGCCCATCTGACAGTTGAACACTTCCGACACCGAATATCATTCTTTGTGCCAACTGCCAACATCCTTTTACATGAACACAGATGACATCATAACAAAAAGCAACATCAGTAACATTGTTACTACAATAGTGTAACAAAGTGACATCAGAATAAGAAATATAGGTGACATCATTACATCAACATCAGTGACATTATTACAGCAACATCAGTGAGATTATTACAGCAACACCAGTAACATAATTACAGCAACACCAGTAAAATGATTACAGCAACATCAGTGACATTACTACAGCAACATCAGTGACATTATTAGAGCAACACCAGTAACATAATGACAGCAACACCAGTAACATTATGACAGCAACATATGTGACATTATTAGAGTAACATAAGTAACATAATCACATCAACACCAGTAACATTATTACAGCAACATTAGTGACATAATTACAGCAACATCAGTAACATAATTACAGCAACACCAGTAACATAATTACAGCAAGATATGTGACATTAGAGCAACACCAGTAACATAATTACAGCAACACCAGTAACATAATTACAGCAAGATATGTGACATTATTACAGCAACACCAGTAACATAATTACAGCAACACCAGTAACATAATTACAGCAACACCAGTAACATAATTACAGCAACACCAGTAACATAATTACAGCAAGATATGTGACATTATTAGAACAACACCAGTAACATAATTACAGCAACACCAGAAACCTAATAGCAGCAACATCAGTGACATTATTACAGCAACATCAGTGACATTATTAAAGCAACATCAGTAACATAATAACAGCAACACCAGTAACATAATTACAGCAACACCAGTAACATAATTACAGCGAAACCAGTAACATTATTACAGCAACATCAGTGACATTATTACAGCAACATCAGTGACATTATTAAAGCAACATCAGTAACATAATAACAGCAACACCAGTAACATAATTACAGCAACACCAGTAACATAATTACAGCGAAACCAGTAACATTATTACAGCAACATCAGTGACATTATTACAGCAACATCAGTGACATTATTAAAGCAACATCAGTAACATAATAACAGCAACACCAGTAACATAATTACAGCAACACCAGTAACATAATTACAGCGAAACCAGTAACATTATTACAGCAACATCAGTGACATCATTACAGCAACATCAGTGACATTATTAAAGCAACATCAGTAACATAATAACAGCAACACCAGTAACATAATTACAGCAACACCAGTAACATAATTACAGCAACACCATTAACATTATTACAGCAACATATGTGACATTATTAGAGTAACATAAGTAACATAATCACATCAACATCAGTAACATAATAACAGTAACACCAGTAACATAATTACAGCAACATATGTGAAATTAGAGCAACACCAGTAACATAATTACAGCAACATCAGTAGCATAAATACAGCAACATTAGTGACATTATTACAACATCATCAATGACATAATTACAGCAACATCAGTAACATAATTACAGCAACACCAGTAACATTATAAAAGCAACACCAGTAACAAAATTACAGCAACATATGTGACATTATTAGAGTAATATAAGTATCATAATCACATCAACACCAGTAACATTATTACAGCAACACCATTAACATTATTACAGCAACATATGTGACATTATTAGAGTAATATAAGTATAATAATCACATCAACACCAGTAACATTATTACAGCAACACCAGAAACCTAATAGCAGCAACATCAGTGACATTATTACAGCAACATATGTGACATTATTAAAGCAACATCAGTAACATAATAACAGCAACACCAGTAACATAATTACAGCGAAACCAGTAACATTATTACAGCAACATCAGTGATATTATAGCAGCAGCATCAGTGACATTATTACAGCAACATCAGAGAGTAATATAAGTATCATAATCACATCAACACCAGTAACATTATCCAGAAACCTAATAGCAGCAACATCAGAGACATTATTACAGCAACATCAGCGACATTATTAAAGCAACATAAGTAACATAATCACAGCAACACCAGTAACATTATAACAGCAACACCAGTAACAAAATTACAGAAACATATGTGACATTATTAGAGTAATATAAGTATCATAATCACATCAACACCAGTAACATTATTACAGCAACATATGTGACATAATTACAGCAACATCAGTAACATAATTACAGCAACACCAGTAACATTATTACAGCAACATATGTGACATAATTACAGCAACATCAGTAACATAATTACAGCAACACCAGTAAAATTATTACAGCAACATCAGTGATATTATAGCAGCAGCATCAGTGACATTATTACAGCAACATCAGTGACATTATTAAAGCAACATCAGTGACATTATTACAGCAACATCAGAGAGTAATATAAGTATCATAATCACATCAAATATGTGACATTATTAGAGTAACATAAGTAACATAATAACATCAACATCAGTAACATAATAACAGTAACACCAGCAACATAATTACAGCAACATATGTGAAATTAAAGCAACACCAGTAACATAATTACAGGAACATCAGTAGCATAAATACAGCAACATTAGTGACATTATTACAACATCATCAATGACATAATTACAGCAACATCAGTAACATAATTACAGCAACACCAGTAACATTATTACAGCAACACCATTAACATTATTACAGCAACATATGTGACATAATTACAGCAACATCAGTAACATAATTACAGCAACACCAGAAACATTATAAAAGCAACACCAGTAACAAAATTACCGCAACATATGTGACATTATTAGAGTAACATAAGTAACATAATCACATCAACATCAGTAACATAATAACAGCAACACCAGTAGCATAATTACAGGAACATATGTGAAATTAGAGCAACACCAGTAGCATAATTACAGGAACATATGTGAAATTAGAGCAACACCAGTAACATAATTACAGTAACATCAGTAGCATAAATACAGCAACATCAGTGACATTATTACAGCAACATCAGTGACAATATTAAAGCAACATCAGTAACATAATAACAGCAACACCAGTAACATAATTACAGCAACATATGTGAAATTAGAGCAACACCAGTAACATAATTACAGGAACATCAGTAGCATAAATACAGCAACATTAGTGACATTATTACAACATCATCAATGACATAATTACAGCAACATCAGTAACATAATCACAGCAACACCAGTAACATTATAACAGCAACACCAGTAACAAAATTACAGCAACATATGTGACATTATTAGAGTAATATAAGTAACATAATCACATCAACACCAGTAACATTATTACAGCAACATATGTGACATAATTACAGCAACATCAGTAACATAATTACAGCAACACCAGAAACAAAATTACAGCAACATATGTGACATAATTACAGCAAGATATGTGACATTAGAGCAACACCAGTAACATTATAACAGCAACACCGGTAACATTATGACAGCAACATATGTGACATTATTAGAGTAACATAAGTAACATAATCACATCAACACCAGTAACATTATTACAGCAACATTAGTGACATAATTACAGCAACACCAGTAACATAATTACAGCAACATCAGTGATATTATAGCAGCAGCATCAGTGACATTATTACAGCAACACCAGTAACATTATTACAGCAACATCAGTGACATAATTACAGCAACATATGTGACATTAGAGCAACACCAGTAACATAATTACAGCAACATCAGTAGCATAAATACAGCAACATCAGTGACATTATTACAGCACCATCAATGACATATAAATACAGCAACATCAGTAACATAATTACAGCAACACCAGTAACATTATTGCAGCAACATCGAGTGATATTATAGCAGCAACATCAGTGACATTATTACAGCAACATCAGCGACATCATTACAGCAACACCAGTGATATTATTACAGCAACATCAGTAGCATAATTTCAGCAACATCAATAACATAATTACAGCAACACCAGTAACATTATTACAGCAACAGCAGTGATATTAAAGCAGCAGCATCAGTGACATTATTACAGCAACATCAGTGACATCATTACAGCAACACCAGTGATATTATTACAGCAACATCAGTAGCATAATTTCAGCAACATCAATAACATAATTACAGCAACACCAGTAACATTATTACAGTAACATCAGTGATATTATAGCAGCAACATCAGTGACATTGTTACAGCAACATCAGTGACATTATTAAAGCAACATCAGTAACATAATTACAGCAACACCAGTAACATTATTGCAGCAACATCGAGTGATATTATAGCAGCAACATCAGTGACATTATTACAGCAACATCAGCGACATCATTACAGCAACACCAGTGATATTATTACAGCAACACCAGTAGCATAATTTCAGCAACATCAATAACATAATTACAGCAACACCAGTAACATTATTACAGCAACATCAGTGACATAATTACAGCAACATATGTGACATTAGAGCAACACCAGTAACATAATTACAGCAACATCAGTAACATAATTACAGCAACATCAGTAACATAATTACAGCAACATCAGTAACATAATTACAGCAACATCAGTAACATAATTACAGCAACACCAGTAACATAATTACATCAACATCAGTGATATTATAGCAGCAGCATCAGTGACATTATTACAGCAACATCAGTGCCATTATTAAAGCAACATCAGTAACATAATAACAGCAACACCAGTAACATAATTACAGCAAAACCAGTAACATTATTACAGCAACATCAGTGACATTATTACAGCAACATCAGTGACATCATTACAGCAACACCAGTGATATTATTACAGCAACATCAGTAGCATAATTTCAGCAACATCAATAACATAATTACAGCAACACCAGTAACATTATTGCAGCAACATCGAGTGATATTATAGCAGCAACATCAGTGACATTATTACAGCAACATCAGTGACATTATTAAAGCAACATCAGTAACATAATAACAGCAACACCAGTAACATAATTACAGCAACACCAGAAACATAATTACAGCAACACCAGTAACATAATTACATCAACATCAGTGATATTATAGCAGCAGCATCAGTGACATTATTACAGCAACATCAGTGACATTATTAAAGCAACATCAGTGACATTATTACAGCAAAATCAGTAACATAATAACAGCAACACCAGTAACATTATTACAGCAAAATCAGTGACATTATAACAGCAACACTAGTGACATTATAACAGCAAACCAATAATATCAGAGCAACATCAATACAATCACTTAAGTATAATAAGTGACACCAATAGAGTATTAAAGTGACATATTCAAAATGACATCATCACATCAACATCAGTGACATTATTACAGCAATATTAATGTCATTACAGCGACATCAAAGACAGCATTGATGGAAATTAGTGACATCATTAGAGTAGGAAAAAATGGCACCATAAGAGTGAAAACATCAATAAATTAATTGGAGTATAATTAGTGACATCATAATATCAATTTTATAATTTTATTTTAGATACCATATACTCGCCAAACAATATAGAGAAAAATACACTATACAGTTGTAGAACTTAGGAAATCGGCGGGTTCGACACAGCCTAGGAGTCAACTCCGATTACAATTAATTTAGAGCAACAACAATGACATTAGAGCAATATCAATAAAATATTAGAGTAAAATCAGTGACTTTATTAGAATAACATGAATACAATCATTAGAGAAACTTCAATGAAATCATAGTGGTAAGACAGACAAAGGGTTAGTGCACAGTGTGCTAAAGAATTCATTACTGGTAGGAGACAATGGATTACCTCACAATAGTTTGTTTGTTTCATTTCAAACTTGTTCTTGAATCTTTGATGCAGAATTTTAACATAAGCATCACATACAGATGTATTTACATGGATATATACAGGCCCTTTTTATGGCCGAATATGGGTCAGTATCCCTCTCCAATTTTGGCATTATTTTCGCCTATTTCAGCTTTATTTTCCCCTATTTCAGTTATTCTGCTATTTTTGTTTATATTTTCGAACAGTTCCACATCGAAGCGATTTATTTCATTTTTTCCTGTGTTCATGTTACTTGTCACAGCTGATATTTTACAAAACTGTTTACAGCTAGCCCTGTTTACAGTATACAATAACACTGTTTACAGCTAGCCCTGTTTACGATATACAATATCATAACAGTCACACAAACACTTTATTCTAATGCATATTCGGTGGTCAATTTGAAGCGTCTATAATGAACAGCAAGAAACAATTATTAAGGATGTCATCCATGCCCCCCTCTCTTACTCTCCCCCTGGCTCCGGCCTGTGGCCACCCTTCCCACCGGCGGGTCATGCACCTAGAGTGCATATTTTCCCCTTTTTCAGAAAAGGGTACTTACTTTCTATTCCTGAATTAATCCCTTATTTAAAATGTGGTTTCAGAATATGGTTTCAGCTGACATGGATTTCAACCAATTAGAAGCTTTTGTTGTGTCTCAAACAAAACGTCGAGAGGGAGCTCTAACGGAAGGACAAGCGAATGCATTCCGAAGGTTCTGGAAATCACACAAGAACAAAATACACGACAGTTTAGTGGTTGATACTAATTGGAACAATAGTTTAAAACAAGTTTCTTGGAGAATTGATGTAAAATCACAGTCAAAAAATGTGGATCAAATAAACGAACCAACAGCCATCATGGAACTGCAGTTACAGGGAAACAGCATCTCTAAGGTATTCTCATATAAATATATTGATTATAACACACCTGTTTAATCATACCATTTATCACATACTTGTCTGTGATATTGGCTATTCGTCATATCTACCTGGCCAGCGCTATATTTGTTAAACTTCTGGATCAACACTTTTCAGAAAAATCACACCTCAAACTGGTTGCACACATGTTCATTGCTTATCTGTCTGTATGTACTTTCCTTTTCAGTGTGGTTTTAATTACGGTAGAATTTGATTATAGTTAAGCTCATATAAAATAAATTTTCTGTGTGTAGCATTTGTAATTGCTAATAATTTTGATGTTATAGAGCAGTATATGATAAAAAGTTACCTTACAGCCAATTCCATATCCCACTCTGTATCAACCCTCGCCCCATATCATTATCAGTCCTCAAGCCTCGCCCTTTTGTATCAGCCCTCGCCCCATATCATTATCAGTCCTCAAGCCCCTTTGCCTGATATATATGGAAGTCTAGGACTGACTGTGTCATTAATGTGGTAACAGGACAATAATATTTCATTCATGAACATTCATATTCATTAGTGAACCTTTCTTTACAATAATCATTATTTTCTTAGGCATATCCAAAAATTACTAAACGTTTTTGGATAATAGATTGTTCTCTGATGAAACAAGTTTTACATTGTTCCTTATTTGGTTGAAAAAAGTATATTGCAGTTTGGATCTTTGTTAACATAAATTTATGGGCTGTACTTTGTTAGAATGTCAGACATCTTGATTATGTTATTCGCATGTGAACTGATCCTGGCCATCTTTTTTAATTTCAGAATACTGAGGTTGTTCAGTTTGAGATGGATGAAAATAAACTAATTACAGTTTTACAAAGTATGAAAGACATTGAGAGTGAAATCAACAAATACAGTCATCAGTAAACAATGTGGATTATGTAATAAGTTTTATCTAATAAATCATCTACCAAAGAAATGCTGTTATAGAGTTTCACATCAACCAGCTCCCACAGAAAACCTGAATGGGTTAGTGGTGTCTATCGGAAGTAATTGTCTAATAGTCTTTTTATGACATCTTTGAAGTATGAGCAAATTGTACATTTATTTTTTTACTAATGTGCAAAAAACAAAGACAAAAAATTATCACAACAGTATGGCAAGTTGACAGTTACCGTAATAATTTATGCCGTTATGCAGTGTGTTTAGCTCCAATAATAATGCGTACCACATACAACATTTCATCACAGCATCATCAGCTTTTCTAATATGAATAAAGGAAATTTTAATTAGATGAACATTTCATAGAAACAGCAACCCATTTATTTTATGGCAACTTGACTTGTTATGATAAAAATATGGTATACATTTTGTAATTTTGCTTTGAACTCCTTGAATGAAACATAAATACAGTGAAATTCACCTCGGTCTACTGGATAACCGAACTACTCAAGGTAAATACAGTGAAATTCACCTCCGTCTACTGGATAACCGACCTACTCAAGGGATGCAGATGTAAACCCAACAAATAAACAAACAACATTTTCTTTACAAAGACATTTGATGTTATACTTGTTATACTGACTCCAATTTTAACTCACCTAGCTAATCACACTGTTAACAAAACTCCCATTATATTTGCATCCATTATATCCAAACAGTTTCCTTGCATAAAAACATTGAAGGTCTGCTTCTTTTTATTGAGATTTATAATGAAGCTATTGAAGAAATAAGATAACTTTGCTACATACAAAATCTAATGAACTCGGCTGTTAAAGTCCAGAAATTATTTTCAAAATACTGCACTGAGAAAGGGTTTCTTTATGTATTTATTTTGCATATAGTTCAAGTTATATACATAGTTTTCAACTTGTGGAATATTTTAAAATTATATTATAATGTAATATATATAAAATTATATAATCAATTATGTACCCTATCCCATTTGGAGCCCCAAAATGATTTACCCTACCCCATTTGGAGCCCCACACACAGCTTTCAATGAATTGCACCACCACACCAGTTACAAAATAAAACACCGCTGCTCACAGTTGATTCAGGTATGTGATTAATGATTTTTATATGTAGCAGAAATCCTGTGGTCAAATGTCACTTTCTCGGACAAAATCATTCTTTTTCAACAAACAGGTTCAGCAATGGCCACTGATTACATTGGTCTCAATACAAGATTACCAAACTTCCTCCTTTCTACAAGAACATTCCTATAGTAGAAATACATAACTTGTTTAATTACGTGCATTTGTGTAAAAGAAAGGATTTGGCAAGGTTTTGTTACCAGTACTGAAAAGCTCTTCGATAATTTCAGCCTCATATGAATAGAAGAGCAAGTAGGTCAGAAGAGGGGCCCATTTTGTTCCCATAGGAATTCCTTCAGTCTGCTGGAAAATCTTGCCACCAGACTCAAAGATATTGTCAATCAGAACCACAAATTCTCGACGGTTTTATCCTCAGTATATTTCATTCTGGCCTTTGAGGTACGGAAGTTTAAAGAACGGAAATATAAAATGTTTCGATAAAGAAACACTTTTGAGGAGAGATGCTCTAATTGGTCGTCATATCTTTTGAGTTAATTACACCTGTGGATATTCAGTTCCAGAAAAGGACCATTTTCATCCTGATTTAATGAAGCTAAGAATGGCTGTTAGAAATTTGGTTAAGAAAGATTCTTGTGAAGTATCGAATACAAACGTGGCTGGTCCGTAATTTTGTCATTAACTGAGCGTGATTTACTAGAACTTGTGTTTCGTCTTTCTAAAACAGTGGAAATGAATAGATAGGATTTTGTTTGGTTATCAAACAAGCCTAGTTCATTTTGTAGGCAAAGATTAAGTTATAAGTTGCTTTGTCTGCAGACACAACCGTTTAGTACTTATACTTTTTAGTACTAAAGGGAGGGAGATGCTTATTTATACTTTTTAGTTCTAATGGGAGATGTTTTAGTACTAATGGGGGATGCTTATTTATACTTTGTCATAATAAAGGGAGATATACTTATTTATACATTTTAGTACGAATCGGAGATATTTGTATATCCATTTTAGTTCTTATGTGAGATACTTATTTAAACATTTTAGTACTAGCGGGAGATGCTTATTTATACATTTTAATACTAATGGGAGATATTATTATATCCATGTTAGTACTAATGGGAGATACTTATTGATATATTTCAGTTCTAATGGAAGATGCTTATTTATACTTAGTAGTACTAACGGGAGATAATTATTGATATATTTCAGTTCTAATGAGAGATGTTTATTTATACTTTTGAGTTTTAATTGGAGATAGTTATTTATACATTTAAGTATATTTATACTTAGAAGTACTAGAGGGAGATACCTATTTATACATTTTAGTACTAATGGGGAATGCTTATTTATACTTAGTAGTACTAAAGGGATATACCTATTTATACATTTTAGTACTAATGGGAGATGCTTATTTATACTAATTAGTACTAAAGGGAGATACCTATTTATACATTTTAGTACTAATGGGGAATGGTTATTTATACTTAGTAGTACTAAAGGGAGATGCCTATTTATACATTTTAGTACTAATGGGGAATGGTTATTTATACTTAGTAGTACTAAAGGGAGATACTAACTTATACATTTTAGTACTAATGGGGAATGCTTGTTTATACTTAGTAATACTAAAGGGATATACTTATTTATTCATTTTAGTACTAATGGTGAATGCTTATTTATTCTTAGTAGTACTAAAGGGAGATACTTATTTATACATTTGAGTACTAATGGGGAATGCTTATTCATACTTATTAGTACTAAAGGGAGATATTAATTTATACATTTTAGTACTAATGATGAATGCTTATATATACTTAGTAGTACTAAAGGGAGATACTAATTTATACATTTTAGTACTAATGGGGAATGCTTATTCATACTTATTAGTTCTAAAGGGAGATATTAATTTATACATTTTAGTACTAATGAGGAATGCTTATATATACTTAGTAGTACTAAAGGGAGATACTAACTTATACATTTTAGTACTAATGGGGAATGCTTGTTTATACTTAGTAATACTAAAGGGATATACTTATTTATACATTGTAGTACTAATGGGGAATGCTTATTTATACTTAGTAGTACTAAAGGTAGATACTTATTTATACATTTTAGTACTAATGGGAAATGCTTATTTATACTTAGTAGTACTAAAGGTAGATACTTATTTATACATTTTAGTACTAATGGGAAATGCTTATTTATACTTAGTAGTACTAAAGGTAGATACTTATTTATACATTTTAGTACTAATGGGGAATGCTTGTTTATACTTAGGAGTACTAAAGGGATATACCTATTTATACATTTTAGTACTAATGGGGAATGGTTATTTATACTTAGTAGTACTAAAGGGAGATACCTATTTATACATTTTAGTACTAATGGGAGATGCTTATTTATACTAATTAGTACTAAAGGGAGATCCCTATTTATACATTTTAGTACTAATGGGGAATGGTTATTTATACTTAGTAGTACTAAAGGGAGATACCTATTTATACATTTTAGTACTAATGGGGAATGCTTATTTATACTTAGTAGTACTAAAGGGAGATACTTATTTATACATTTTAGTACTAATGGGGAATGCTTATTCATACTTATTAGTACTAAAGGGAGATATTAATTTATACATTTTAGTACTAATGAGGAATGCTTATATATACTTAGTAGTACTAAAGGGAGATACTAATTAGGTTATCTTTGCTGTAAATTTTCTAAGAATGCAATTTTGTGAATACATCTCTTATAAAATCAAGATCGTAAGCACATTTCTTATACAGATGACATGTCAAATGAGCATGATAGCAAAGGGAACAACCCGGAAATTGAGAGTTATCTCCCTTCGCAATTTGTTTGGAAAGTTGACGAGGAATATGGAGAGTGAAAAATCATAGAATCGATACATTTTGGAGGTTAACTAGATTTACTAAAACAATATCGATAAAACAATGGCAAAATACGAACAAAGGAATCATTTACATGGATACCATTGTAAAAAGTTTCAGTAGAATAAGTTCAAGTATCCCGGAAGGGTTAGCGTCTCCTGCTCATCGACGAAACTCGCCATGTCAATGTAGGTCAAATTCAAGTAAAGTCAAGTCCTTACATCGAGAACTCCGGTTATAACAACAAAAAACTACAAGGGGTACTAATGAGCGTAACTTAAACATCAACCTTTATAATACTAAATGCTACATTAAATCGGTGACATGTTCCACGAACTCTTCATACTCGTACGCGGTACTAGTGTACTAAATAACGCAGTGAGAAAAACAAATAACAGATCTAAATTGGCGATCACTGATACTGTTGGATAAAGACCAGAAGATATACTTAAGCTGAAATAATTATCATAAAATATCCATACTGTCAAAGCCAAAGTCATTGTAAAAAAAAAGTCTTTTGTTGTGTTGGCCAGATCGTATTTTCCGATCTTCATGTTACAGAACCATAATCTTATTTTCCGTACTATATTACATTCAATAAAACTAACCATGGATGCCGTCTTGTGGACATTCACAAAGCTATCGTCTTATATTCTAAGTTTACAAGTTTATTTGGTTTCCTCAGACACATTACGATGTATACCATGGCGTATCAAAAATGAATGGTGAGTACACAAATATGCATAGGTCATCAAAGCTTACAATAGTTTAATATTTTTCCAACGAAAATCAAATTCCATTTAACACTCTGTTGTAACATCATGGCAGAAGGCCACTGTTTTCAATTTGAAAAGGATTTCTCCTATAATATAAAGGTAAACATTTCCTCCTCAGCTCTACAGGTCTTACACCTGTACACTTAAATACTAGTAAATACGATAAGTCTTGCATAGAGCACGTTTTCTGTCTTGATTTTGAATATGATGCCACCTACCTGTAACAATCTTTAATGGAAAATTTCATATCTGAGCATC